CACAATTCGCTAGGATCGAAATTAGCGCCGTCTCATGATGGAATGTAATTTCTGGCTAATTATCGTCTATCTGGAAGGCGGTCGTAATAATTCAACTCGGTGTTGCCTAATTATGGCATTAAGACAGACGTTTGCCCTCGAACGGTCTGCGTGTTAATTGCCATTTGTCGGCGGTCATCTAAGTGAAATATTAACCCAGACTCCCTCTTAAATCTTCCCTTCAAGTGCTTTTATCATTATTATGCCACTCTAAACATATAATAATGACTTTGTTTACTCATCCTCACTTTGTTCTCCAATTCAAATAATTAACAAGCAATTGTTTACAAAATCGGTACTCTTTCATATTTCTTGATTAGTAAGCCTCTTTTGAATTTACGAGCTAAGATTACCTGTATTTATTTATTAACAGAAAAATTAGTCATGAAAACAATCAATAATAATATTTAAAAAACACAATTAAAGCTTGGAATTGTTAATTAAAGTTCAGCATGTAACATGATGTACTTTCTTTCCTGATAATAAGGAAGTCTAATGTATTCAATACAATATTTTTGATTGAAATTAAGTTTGGCCAAAAGAACGCATTAAAAACCTAATGATCAATCATATTTTATTTTTCCTAGAACGCAACGCTGAAAAGTAGGCCATAATTGGCGGTGATCTCTGATCTGAACAGTCCCCTTGAAAATGTGGTCTATTCTGGTTCAGTCTTACGCTGACCGATCGGTATTTGGCCTAGACCTTTTGGCCCCCGATTTGCGACTGGCTGCCACTTTTTTTGACTTGGCCAATTGCATTGCGTGGCGCGGATTTTAATTACGCACAATTATCCGAAAACGAGTTTGTTGCCTAAGTCATTCGTTTGGCGGTACAAAAAAAATGGTGAAAAAAGCAGGCCAAAATCGCGGTCAAAGTTGAAAGTATTTTACATACATATCTCCACTCCAATGAACCGTTATTGTTCACAACAAAAACAACAAAGTCGTCATGTCCATAATTTCATTTTCGCTGAAAACAAAAAAAAACCTCGAAAAAAAACTGCAAGACATTGCAACAATCAAATTAAAGTTACATTACATAAGCTAAGCTTGTGTCCAGTAAAGAGAGATAGCTAGAGAGCGAGAGAGAGAGAAAGAAAGAGAGGGGGAGAAACTGAGAAATAGAAAAAAAGAGATATACTGAGAAATATTCGGGGAGAAACCAAGAGAGACTTGTCGCATGTTGCTGCTGTGCTGATATTGCTGCCGTGTTTATTTCTTGTGCAATTTCGGTGCCTGCTTCTTCTTCTTGTTGCAGGCATAAATATATACAGCAGTGTTCAAAATACTATCAGTTGGCTGCCAAATAAACAGTTTCCAAAAGATAAAACTATATTTAATTTTCTTTGTTTTTGTTAAAAATTCAAAAGTGTTATGTTTTGATTGTTAATATTCCTAAGCAAACAAATGTAATTTCATTTAAATTTTGTTGGTAGTATTATATTTCTTGTACTATAATTCGGACCACAGCTGTGGCAGGTGGTATTATATACGGGAAAGCCGTAGAAATTATGTTGCGTGACGTTTCAATTCGCACAAAGGCTGTAATTGGGCCCGTTTACCCCCACCCCTCACTCAAAAGTCGGCTAAGTATATTGGCCTAAAAAAACCGTTGTGCATTGTGACCAACTAATGACCGAACAGGCTGCAAAGTCCAAAAACCAAGCCATCGAACCTCGATCACTTGTCGGTTTTTGGTTAACTTGGCTTCATTTCAATTATGGTTATTTTTTTCAGGTTTTTCAGACAGACAGGTGAAATGCAAGACGAGGTCAAAACTGGGATTTGGTAATTTTCTTGGGGAGGAAAAAAAAAACCAAAGTAATTGTCGTTAACGATATTTCTTTTCCCGGAATACTTGCAAAAAAAAACCAAAAGAAAGATTACGAAGATTGTGAAAGCTTTTTTTCGATTTTTGAGGAAGTTTGCCGATCGCCGTCGATGATGAGACAATATTTACACTTCCTCTTAGACTTTTGCCGACTGTTTACTCTCGACTGAACAAACACAGTGCCGAAATATTAACAAATTAGTTTTGGTTTTTCGATCTATTGAGCGAGGGCTTTTCGAGGGGCCTTCGACTTGACTTCCAACTGCAATTTTTGTCATGGCGAGTGCATTTCAGGGCAACCTTCAACCTGCCAATCGAGTTCAGCCAAGCGAAGCTGCCGCCAAACTATTGCATTTGCAATTGCAATGGCTAAGGCAGACAGAAAAATAGCAAAATGTGCAACAGCAACGGCTCAAAAAACAAAGGTAACACCGGCCACAATTTATTAGCCATTGATCTTGGCCGAGGATTGGGAGCTCCAGATACGAAACCAGTGCTGAAAATTATGTCCGAGCCGTTTAAATAACAATTTCCAGCCAGTGTCGGAGTCCGGTTTACGAGGAAAAACTTTGGCCCTGGCCACACGTTCATGTGGTAATGTAACACACAATATATGGAGACATTGACACAGATGCCAGTTACAGTCCCGGCTCTGAGCCTCCCAAATCTCTGCAACCCATCCATACCCAGGTTTATGATGCATTTGGTGGACCTGAAGGCGGTGGAGAAAAATCTTCCCGGTAATCGTCAAAATAAATAAAAATTGAGAAGGACTTTTGGGATCTTTAAATTTAAATCTTCATATTTAAAACCATTACATTTTTGCAAACAAATAATATTATTTAATATATAATACCTACATATATAATATATTTTTCTTTGCTATAAGCAGTTAATTGCTATGGGCTTAATGAAAGTTAAATATAGTAAGATCAAGTAAGTTAGCAATCGCGCTGTTTTTGAAAATGTCAGTTCTCTAATGTACCATTCAACTATATCAAAATGACGCAAGCAAAAGTCTGCATTAAATGGAAAACGCTTAAATGAACTGGAGAAAATTACTTTCGCTGGAAAAGCATAATTTTCTGGGATAAGCTAAAAAAAAAGATATTTCCTCTGGCAAAATGCAGACTCGCAGTGCATTTAGTGAGGTAACTGAGATATTTAACTGCCTGTTAATTAAAAAAGAAATTAAGACGAACTTCCGAAACGCTGTTGGCCTTTCTCCCCGAAATAAACCTCAAACAGCACGGGAAATGCTTCCGCATGCGGGGAAAATGCATTTTCTTTTATCACCATCTTTCTCTCTATTGTTTTCCTTGGGCTCCATGAACTTGAACCGTCGTTAAGAGGCGCTTTCAATGAATGTGCTCACTTTCCGGGCACTTTGGCCCATGGTGCAACCAGTGAAATGATACGAAAAAAAAAGAAACTCAAACACTTTTATTTCGTCTTTTTTTTTTTGTTTTTCGGCTCTCTTTCTCTTTTTCTTGTGTTTTGCGTTAATTGATTACATAACCAGCATCTGGAGAGTGGTTTCAGCTTGGCCAAGTCAGTTGGTCAGTGGTGTTTTCGGTCTCAGGTTGCTGGAATCGATAGGATTGCTTTTTGGGTGGTGCGGCAACTTGTCGCAACCAGCAAAATCGAAAATCCAAAAAAAAGAGAAAAACCAACAGCCGAATAACCGAAAAACCGAAAATAAAACAAGTCGCACAACATTTATTCATAATTCAAGCTTTAGCTCTCGGCCTGTCTCACTTTCGACTGCAAATACTGGCAGCTGATTCAATTTGATCTGGTCGTGCAATTGATCCGTTCCGTTATTCAATACCAAGCCCCCTGACATAATGACCAACAAAAAAAAAGGCCGAAAAACTACAAAGAAAACAAAAAGGAAAAACCAATTTGCCCAAATGGGGAAAAATTCGGCGAATAAATCCGCCCATCAGGCCAAAAATTTGATTGAGTTGCTGCTGTGTTGCTGTTGCATGTTGCTGCTGTACATGTTGCTGCTGCTGCACTGGCAAGAACTAATTGCGACCTTGGCGATCACTCGCATCGTATCGTGCACTTATGTAGATTGTGTGCTTATGGGCAAATTTGTCTATTCGCGATCTCCAAAGTCTGTATAAAAGCAGCGCATATATCTCCACCGATCGCCAGCCAAATCGGCGAATGGCACGTTCACACACACTGCACCAACACTCACGGCGGTGGTTTTATTTTTCGATCGAATAAGACGCGAACAAGATCAGTCTCAGGTGGAAAATGTGTGTGGAAATTGCGATAACATGAGGGGAAGTGAATGGCCATCTCACGTATCAAATCTTTATTTGACAAGCAAAAAAGATAACACATCTATGTCTACTTTTATTTTTAAGATGAATACTACTACTACTATACTAATACAAACAAAAAGTTCGATGGAGCTTCCTATAATAATACTTATTAAATACAAACAAGAATTTAAACAAAAAAGAAAATGTTGGCCTAAGGTCTTCTAAAGTTTTTATGTTTTTTGTTCCAAAAATTTGAATTCAACCTCAATCTTAAATTCTTATTAACATTATTCGATTGCTGCTTAAACCTTTTGGTTTGGGTTAATTGATTTCTGTGGCCAGCAATTTTAGATTGAGATCAATGAAGGTGGTGGTTTCATATAATTGAATGCAAGCTGTTTTTTGCTGTCAATTAAAAATTTCTGCAGTAGAGATTTAAAAATCCTTGTTTGACCATATAATTACAAAACTATTTTTTAAAAATACCGAAATTTTATCAACCAATAATTTCCAATTGCTAGAATAAGTTAAAATCAAAGTTACAACAGTTTTTTTAAGTCCCTAAATTTTAACAGAAAAATTGGGGAGATGTTTATTTAAGATTTTATGATGGTTTACAAATAACTACAATCTTCAATAGTAATCTCTTTAAAAACAAAAAATAAACGTATTAAAAAAAATATTAAAAATATAAATATTTAACACATTCATAGAATGCCAGTTATAATAATTGCAAACAAAGATCGGTAAAAGTAAAAAAAAATGTAAAAAGATAGTCCGATTATATCTTGTAAATTTCGGGCGGTATATCGAATATCCCCCTAAAAGGATCCTGTCGTTGGTACTTACTTTTGACGGCCCACATCTTGGCATCGCTGAGCCCCGCCAGGTAGCTCCGCATGTCCCGGCTGCAGTTGGTGGACACTGCGCCGGAGTTCTCCACCTGGCCCCATTGGGCGGCCAGGACGGCGAGATCGAATACGTTGAGGGCTTCCCTCAGGCGGCGGGTGCGCGACAGGTCGAAGCTCAGTTTGGGGTCACCATGGGGCACCCCGTGCAGACTCAGGTTAATCACATTGTGCTGGTCCGAACCGGAGCTCAGGTTGTGCCTGCCCGGCGGAAATTTGCCCTCGTCCTTGTCGATCGCTGCCTGGGGCGTTGCCAGCACCGAGAGCAGCATTGCCAGCACCAAAGTCCTGCGCATCATATCGCTCGGTTATGTGCCCTATAGACGATATATTCAAATTGGCTGGGCACGTTCCTGCGATGTCTTTATTTGCTTGTTTTTCGGCCTGCTTCACTTTCACTCCACACGAACAAAAAAAAAAACAATAATAAAATCCAATGTGGGTTAACAGCGAATTATTTATATATTTTGCACCAGCATTTTCACAACCAAAAAAAGATGATAAACACTCGGTAGAACCGTTAGAACATGATATTTTTTGGCACTTCTTTATATATTTTTTTTTGGTGGTAGATTGGGGATAATATTGAAAACACACGCGCGGTTTCTTATAGTTTTCGCCTTTATATATTTTTGGGGAGCGACGACGACCGCTTGGCATGAACGCACGTCCACGAATCGCGACTGCGCGTCTTGAGCAGCTGTAAAAATATGTTAACAATTCCAAAAACGCAGGCCCAAAAAAAAGAAAAAAATCTCAGCTCAGACTGGAGCTCGTATCTGATCTCTCGCTCTCTCTGTCTCTCTTCGCTCGCGCTCTCTGGAAAGCGCAAGTAAGTTGTACCGTTAGCAGCACTTTCGTTGGGAGAGCTTCTCTTTTTCTCTCTCTTGGAAATAAGCAAAAGCCCTGCGTCATCGACTGTGTGGTAATATCTTTCAGTGTGTGTGAACATTATGTTATGGAATTTTGCGAGAGTATGAGTGTTGCAAAAGTGGCCGCAAAAATGAAATTAGCCATTGATATTTGAATACGCGACGAGGTTTTGGGGACAGGAGGCGAAGAGCAGTGGCAATCGCAATCACTATAACCACTATAGCCATAGCCAGCGGTCCCAAATTCCAGCCAAGTCGGTCAAATCAGTTAAGCCAAGTCGCTTAAATGAGCTAAATGGATTCGCACTCAACCAAGATGGCCAAAATCACATTTCCGAACCTCTTATACGGGCCCTTTGAAAGCCGATCTCTGAATTATAATAATAATACGTGTCAATATAATGTTTTTTTTTGTATTTTTACATAATTACCCCGTAAGATCTTCAATGGTAACTTGGTAATTTTGTTAAGGTAAAATCTAAAGATAACACGATGCTACGATTATTTGTGGGGTAGGGTATGCGGGTATCCATTTAATGATTACAAAAATCTCGCCTTAATGTTAAGTTAATGTAAATGTTAAGAATTGGAAACTTTTGGCACATGAATAAGCTATAAATGATTCACTCAAACAAGGGGTGAATAACATAAAAAAGTGGGTTATTCGTTAAGCGATTTACATATGTATGTATATATGTCTTACAAAAATATTGATATTGTATAAAATAGAAGAGCAAATATTGCCTAAACATATGTACATATATGTTATTGAAGTTTAGGTTAAATTGTATTTAAAGTAAACAAATTATATCTAAATATAAATTAATTTGATTCATTTTTTTCAATACCAAAATTCTGGTATCCTAAAACAAGGTTGTAATCCGTTCATAAGAGATTAAAATTGTTCCGGAGACTATTTAGTTTTGCATGAAAATCATTAATTTCCATCTCCCTTTCCAATTCCAGGTTTCCATTTGAAATACCGGGAATGAAGGAATGCGAACGATAATGTCGCAAGAAATGGAACAATTTTTGTTGTTTCACTGGTGACCTGTTTACAAGCACACGCGAATACCAGAAGGAAAGAGGGAGTAAGAGATAGTTGCACCTGGCGCAGATTCCCTCTCCCCCCTCTCTCCTTAAAAAAAAAGTTGTAAATTACGTCTGTTTGGTTCCCCAACTATATATTGCCATATATTGTGCAATCCAACAAACGTCTGACGTTGCTCGTGCAATGCTTTTCAATTTTCAATTTTCCACAAAAGCCAAATAAAAAGTTGGGAACAGACAGAGACAGCATTATGGTGCATTTACCGTTAGCAAATGGAAACCAGTTCTGAGAAAAAATCCCCAAAAGAAGCAGAAAGGCTGCCAAAAATTAAATGTTAAGTGGCAAAATGAAACAAAAATGCATTTCGTGCATTTTCAAAGCAACAAGAAAAAAAGAAGACAAACAGAAGCCTGCAGAAGATCTTGCAACGGTAAACAGGTTTGCAGGGCAAAAACCAAAAAAAATACAGTAAAAAAAACTGCATCCAGAAGATGAGAGCAAAAAAAGAAAGGGGGCCGAGAGGAAGACAGAGATATTGAAGGAGAGAGAGTAAGAGCGAGACGAAGCGATGGGCATGAATGAAGATGCAAATGAAATCTGAAAATATTTAAGGTTAGCCTTAATATCTCAGATGCACTCAAAAAAAACAGGTCGAAAATAATGTTTCTATTAATTATAAATAAAAATATATAGGCATTAAGAAACTCCAAAAAATATATTCCCAAGTCTTACATTTTATGAGTACTTTTCTAATTAGTACAAATAATAGAATTTGGATAAATTATTTATCATTCGAAATGACGGTTTCGCCCCTTTATACTTATGGATCTTTCGAATGGTTGCTTTGGTGTAAAAATTGACCGAAAATTGTTAAAACTTTCGGGCAGTGTAAGGGTCTGGGTCTGACCGATCGTCTGTCATTCACGCGGTCGGTTGGTACACGTAAGGTCTGTCAGCATATGTATGTATGAAAACCTGTCGCCTCACCTGCCCGATTCCCCGCCCAACGGGGTCGAGCTCATATCTTAATGAGAAAAGTGAAAGTGTCAAGAAATAAGCAAAGCGACTGCCAAAAGGGGTTCAGTTAACAGTGAATAAATAAAAACACGCCACTGCGTCAAGTCGAGATACGAAATTTAGTCAGAAATCAAATCCGGCCGGGTTTATCAATTAGCTAACCGATAACCGAACTGAACCCAAATCTTTGGGTATGGGAATTGTCGCAAATCTCCCATCGATCTTTCTATTAGATTAATCAAAGGTGACCCCAAATTAAGGTCTCAAATCAGATGAAAATTAGAGTTTATCACTTGTCGGGTAGTTCAATACATAATTCATTGGATTAGGGTTTCAAATTTGTTAATATAGCTTTTTTATAAAAGTTTCCTCTGTGAAACATTCGATTTAGGTCATATTAAACATGTCTTTTGACAATGTTTAGCGATTTCTATCGGAATCATCTTAATTAATAAATAATTTATGATCCAAATCATTTGTCAATAAAACCTTGAAAATTGCAAATAATATGGTTGATGTAGAAAACAGTTTTATTTTATAGATCCACAGATCTGAAATAATTAAGACAACTAAGATGATAGGAACTTGTTTCTAATTTAAGCTCATTTGATTCATTTGAGTAATCTTCTGCAGGTTTATTCATATTTTATACAAAATCTTTTATATGTAAATAGTGTGTTTTCTGATGACGAACAAAATAAATATTTTCTTTCTTGAAGTCATTTTCTGTGGGTGTTTCTATGTATACCATTCTAGAAACTGATGTTTCGTAATATCGTTGAAAAAGATTCACATAAATTGTGGTTTCTTTAAGTGATTTCTTCTGATGCACACTCGACAATCGGTTTTGACACTTCAGAAATCATTCGACCAAATATTTAGTTGCACAAATTTTCACATTTTTTGGATCACTTGTGGCGCATTGTTGCTGGGTTTCTGGGTTTTTTTAATGCCATTGTTGATGCTCTGTTCGGTTACTGTTGATGTTAATTGTTTGTTGCTGTTTGCGCTTGCGTCACGCCTGATACTTTGACCATGAACGCATTTCTTGGCAAGGAAAAACGCAGATCGCACGGATGAAATTGAACCGAATGTCGGTCGTAACTTTTATTTTCCACGCCGTCCATGCCACGGCTTCTTTCCTCATCTGCTGTTTTATTTCTTTTTTATAATTACTTCATTTGCAATCTCTCGTGTGGCAATAGAAGAAACTACCGTTAATTAAAAACGCAAACGCACGGTCAAATGAGCGCAGGTGAGTGTGCACTGAGAGAAAGGCACTCCATTCCAATATGTATCTTATAAATAGTTGTTACAACCATGGGATAATGTCCATATGTAAGTACCTATGCGATAAACTTATTGGATTATTGAATATTTTTATCATATGTTTCCCACAACTCTATTCCTTTATTCTTCAAAATTTTTACCAAATTATAATTTTAGATCACCTCAGAAAACTAAAAGAAAATGTAATCGATCTATCAAAATATTTTGAACAATTTGATTTTTAACTTAGATTTTAACAAATAACAAATTAGTCTTAGTACTTTGTTATTAATATATAAATCACAGGGATTGCATATTAGTTTTTATCATTTATGTAACTATGAATTCAAAAAGTATGCTTATATTGACCTAAAAATACAAATTTTCTCTGTGTGGAGAAGAGAGAGGGTCGCTGTTGTAACAACGGCGCCAAAATATTTTCACTTGACTTTTGCGGCTCTGTTTTTATGGCCCCGCGAAGTTCACCGGGGAACTCAGATCGCAGATCGGGGAAATATCAGGGGGGAGGTGGGGCGAAATGGGGGACGTGGATCGTTATGCAATGAGGAGAAAATTGACAATAAGACAAAGCGCAAAATACAAACAAAACCGCGTGAGAGACTGCGACACAAAAACTGCAATGTCACTTACCCATTATTAATGCCCCGGTATCTGCGGGTATTTTGGGGCTATCTGGGGGCAAAGGGGGCGTGGCAGCTCAGCCAGCAACGCCTCACGTCTCCGGACGGACAGATTTACGGACGGGCAGGGGCCAAAACTGTGCCACGGTAATCACACCGAAACCGAAAACTGAAATGCGTGCGGAGGCTGCGACGAAATGTCGGATGCATATAGTTTATATGCACTGCTAAAGGCCTTTCTGATATGATTTGTTACCTGGTGTTATTTGCTGATCATGAGCTACATTCCCATATAGAAATATAATGCAATTAAGCTACAAATATTGAAATTAACTGTTTTGTATTCAATGCGTTGCAAGCTTTTGACTGAAGGGTATTAAAATGACAAAAAATAGACACCAACCAAGATTTAAGCATAGATTTTTAAGAACCGAACTACAATCATTTTGAGGTATGTCATTTAAAAATTGGATGTCTGGTATAAAAGTTATGAGCTTAAAAATGCAGATTTTGGACACTTTTCTGCAAACCCATTTTTCGAAAATTTGGAAAGGGGTAACATCATTAAAAATGACGAAATATCGACCCAAAAAAAAAAAATTTAACTAAAAACACAGATTTTTAGGGAATCAAACCACAATCATTTTGAGGTATGCCACTTTAAAATCGGATGTCTGTAAGAAAAGTTATGAGCTTAGAAGTGCAGATTTTGGGCACTTTTCTGCAAACCCATTTTTCGAAAATTTGGAAAGGGGTTTTATCATTAAAAAAAATGACGAAATATCGACCCAAAAAAAAAAAATTTAACTAAAAACACAGATTTTTAGGGAATCAAACCACGATGATTTTGAAGTATGCCACTTTGAAATCGGATGTCTGTAAGAAAAGTTGTGAGCTTAGAAGTGCAGATTTTGGACATTTTTCTGCAAACCCATTTTTCGCAAATTTGGAAAGGGGTAACATCATTAAAAATGACGAAATATCGACTCAAAAAAAAAAATTTAACTAAAAACACAGATTTTTAGGGAATCAAACCACGATGATTTTGAAGTATGCCACTTCGAAATCGGATGTCTGTAAGAAAAGTTATGAGCTTAGAAGTGAAGATTTTGGGCACTTTTCTGCAAAACCATTTTTCGAAAATTTGGAAAGGGGTTTTATCATTAAAAAAATGACGAAATATCGACCCAAAAAAAAAAATTTAACTAAAAACACAGATTTTTAGGGAATCAAACCACGATGATTTTGAAGTATGCCACTTTGAAATCGGATGTCTGTAAGAAAAGTTGTGAGCTTAGAAGTGCAGATTTTGGACATTTTTCTGCAAACCCATTTTTCGCAAATTTGGAAAGGGGTACATAATTAAAAAGGACGAAATATCGACCCAAAAAAAAAAATTAACTAAGAACACAGATTTTTAGTGAATCAAACCACGATGATTTTGAAGTATGCCACTTCGAAATCGGATGCCTGTAAGAAAAGCTATTAGCTTAGAAGTGCCGTTTTTTGACACTTTTCTGCAAACCCATTTTTCGAAGATATGTACATCATTGAAAATGACCAAAAAACGACCCAAAAATACAAACCCAGATTTAAATACAGATTTTTACAAAATTTAATCAGAATCATTTTGAATTATCAGTCAGAAATGTTATGATCCTAAAAGTCCAGTAGCTGCATTATAAAAAAAATGACGAACAGTCAACACAAAAATTAAATTTCTGCAAATCCAGGTCGATCCTAAAAACATGCAACGCTTTTAAGCCATCAGCAAATATAAGCAGCCTAAAAAATGTCAGCAATATAAAATAAGTTTAAAGCAGAAACCTAACTGGATCAAAATGCTGCCTACTTTTAGATGCGCCGGTAACTCAATTTAACAATTTTGGTTTGCATTAATAACTACTTCTAAATAAAAAATATTATTTTCGGATAGTAATACTTACCCATATCCAACTATCCATAAAAACGACTTGAAAGTTAAAGGCATACGCTTTTACTTCGATTTAATGATTAAAGTCTGGTGTAGCCATTCGATATGTGCTGTTTATTTCGACAGACCTAAGTGCCTTCGAGCGTGTATATCTTAGATATATAAATATATATATTGTTGGTATTGGTATACTGGTATACAAAAAAGACGTCTAGCAAAACAAAAGTCCATATAAAAGGACGATACACGTATATAATACACTAAAACAGTTAACATCCTTTTCGATTTTCCATTCCAATTTGGTAGCACTAGTTTCTGTTTTTGGAAGCCACTTCTTTTGCAGTGCAACCGGGAAACATCGAGCCCAAATATATGTGGGATACATATGTATATCGGAATTATCACAAATGCTTATGATCTAGCTAAAATAGCGAATAGTTTTGCTTGCTTTAAGCGCGCAGGGATCGTGAGATGCGTGTTGTGGGTGGTCTCTTCGACCAGCTCTGCTCCTCGGCGCTGGCGAAGATCAGGTAGATGAAGTTACCGGCGATATTCAAGCCCGCCGCCAGCCAGAATACCAGATGCCACTGGGTCAGAGTCTCGCGGTGGTTGATGATCAGCCCGATGACGTAGGGCGCCATAAATCCACAGATATTGGCCGCCGAGTTGGTAATCCCGTACATGGTGCCTGCATATCTGGGACTGAGTGCAATGTGGTTCATCTGGTTGCCAGCGTAAACGGCTCCGCCAAAAGAACCTACGCCGGCGAGCATAAAGGTGACCCACACCCAATCACAACCCACGTAAATGATGCCAATCAAGCCCAGCGACGGCACCACAGAAGCCACCGTGTTCCACAGCTTGTAGGAGTTCAACAGGGATATGTAACGCTTGGCCAGCATCCAATCTGCCAGGGCGGAGCAGGCGATGCCCACGAACCAGGAGGTTAGGTAGGGAACGGCATTCAGCAGGGCGTTCGACTGGATGTCAAAGTGCAGGATGTTGCTCATATAGGTGGGCAGTTCTGTCAGCTGCGTGTAGAAGGCCCAACCCTGGCCACATTGGGTCAACAGGATGGCCCACAGTGGCACGGAGGTGAGTAGCGATGACCAGGGTATCGGTTCTTCCTGCGGCCTCCTCAGATTCACCTCATCCTTTTCCTCCTCGTCCTCTTCCTCCTCTGGCTCCGCTATTTCCTGGCTGATCAACCGCTGAGCCAGCAGACACCTTTCGATGTACTCCCGCTCCGAAGTGGAGATCCTGGGATGATCGCTGGGCTTGTCATACACCAGATACATCCAGGCGATGAACCACAAAATACCCAGCAGGCCAAAGATGTAGAAGGCCGATGGCCAACCGCCCAGGAAGTCCAGAGAGCAAAGCCATCCGGCGAGGGGCATAGATATGACAGTTCCTATATTGGAGCCCGCATAGACGACGGCAGCGAACTTATTCCTCTCCAGCGGCGGGATCCAGTGGGCCAGCATGGCGTGCATGGCCGGATAGGTGACGCCCTCGCCCATTCCCTCCAGGATGCGGACCAGGACCAGCAGCGGCAGATCCCAGTGGGCGGCCAGCGGGGTGATCAGTGTGAATATGGCCGTGACCAGCACTCCGTATCCGTAGATCTTCTTGCCGCCGTACAATTCGGCCATCCGTCCGCCGGGCACTTGGGTGAGCACATAGCCGTAGAAGAAGCTGCCCAGGACCAATCCCTGCGTGGCCTCATCCCACACGAACTCGCCCTCCTTTTGGGGATTTGGATCGCTGCCATTGTGATTGGGTGCTGGCAGTGGGCAGGTGTCCGTGTCGATCACCGATGAGTTACTGTGCGGAATGGCCGTTTGATTCACCATGGCCACAATGGCCACCGAGAGGTTGACCCGCATCGCATAGACGACGGCGAATCCCAGGAATCCCATAAAGCCGAAAATGTGACGCGTCTTGGGGCCACAGCCTTCGTTCACTGCGGGGAGAGGCGGAGAGAAAGGGCTTGATTAGGAGGCGTTTCAACGGTATCAGTTCCGGTCTGGCTCGACACTAACACAACTCGAATTCGATAAAAAAAAATGCCAAGCCAAAAAATTCCTTTTATGCCCTGCAAGATTATTTCAGTCTGCAGTCGCAATTGCCTTAATCTACCTTCGAAAGCTTAACTACGTGTTATTTAAACATACTTCGATATTAGTATTATTTGATATCATAAAAATAATAATAACAATTCTGAAATATTATCTAAGAATTTTTCTTTAACTTTAACAAATCATTTAATTAACATATTTTAAAGCTCCAATTGTTGTTCAATAGAGTGCTGTGTCACTTTACACAAGTGAAACAAATTTATATTATTCATACATATGTTTGGGAATCATTGTCTTGGCGAAATTAAAAATAAAAAATGTAGATAAATTCGACTTTGTTTAACGATTAATTTTGAAGCGTCATTTCGCAATAAATAAAATTACAGATAGGCATGAAAGACTGTATCAGAAAAATGTGTGAAATGAATATTCCGTTAAAATTATAACCGGAGATTGGCTAAACAAAAAGAAAAACACAGCAATATAAGTTACTTATGGAAATTTTAGTTTCCCAAGTCATTTTCAAATAAGATATCCATAAAATATTTTGTTTATTTTAATTGCGTTACTCAAAAGTACGCTATATCTAGCTTTTTCTATAGTTTAAGAAATCAAATAGATCAATAAGAGAGTAAGCAATTTAAACAAGGTAATAAAAAAAAATTATTGTAAATACATTTTTTAAAAGTATCTCAAGTTGTCTGACTAAACAAAAATAAATTTTCAAAATCCAAATAATCTTTATTTAGAAATATCTTTTATGCAGAGAAATAATAAATGCGTTATTGAATAGCGTAATACCAAAATGTGAAATATTTTTTTAAGAAAGATATCAATTCTGGTTTTAACTAATTGGTAATATTATACAACTTCATATTGTTGACGGCATTAATATAGAAAACTTGTTGGTATATAAATTATATAAGCAGAAAAGATTTATAAGCAATTTACATATGACAAATTGGAACATAAAAAAAACCGTATCTGAGAAGTTCGTAAATAATAACGAATTGAAATTTGTAATGGCTTAGTAGTACTTTTCGGCCATCTACTATTTTTCTCTTGTCTACTCACCCTCCGCTGCGTCGCTGGAGCGGATTAGTGGTCGTTCGCCGGAGCAGAACGCCTCTCGCTCGTCGTCCGCCTCGTCTTCGGAGCGGTCCACCGAAGCGGACGAGTTGGAGGAGGACGACGGCCGACGGAATCGGGATGCGGCCGCATCCTGGTAGTAACAGGACGCGTCCCGCGACTCGTCCGTCCACTTGTGCGGTGGCATCGTTGCGTTATGTTTAGCTTCTTGATGTAGTGGATTCTTATTGGAGCGGTTGGAGCAAATGCAGCGCTTGGAGCAGTTGGAGCGTTTTCAATGGTTGAGACGCTTTAAGCTTATGGAGCGTTTGGAACATTAACAGCCAGCGCATTTTCTCTGCCAGAGCGGCAGTTGTTTTGCAGTTGTAGCGCCAGCAGCGACGCCGGCGACGACGGAAGCGGGATTCGGATAGAAAGAGCGCGAGCGGACACCTCACCACGCCAGTGGGAACCAGCGCAGACTGACGGACTGGCAACTGGCAACGGGCAACGGACAGCGCAACAACAAACCTAAACAAAAGGCAGCGCCAGTAAATGTTGCTTCTAAGCACAAGAGGAACAACAGGGGCGTAGTCAGTGGGGCAGGCCAAATGGAGAACTTGGAAAAAGGTTAAAAATACACACAGGTAAATATATATGTAAGTCTTTATTTACCCATTGGGTAATTTACCTGTGCTTGTTGCTCATGACATGCCCATATTTACTGATGATATAGGAAGGCTCTCCTATGAAATACAGTTGAGCCGTATTATATAAACTTTAATGTTTCTATAAATCTGATTGGTTTTAAATTTGGTATTATGGAAGTTTAATTAAAATTGAGTTAAAAGTTTGATACATTTTATAAAAATTCTTCAAAAACTACAACTATATTACAGAAACAACGTAAACTATCTTGGAACCAAAAAAGTATAGGTAAAAAAAATCATTTAATTTGCTCTTAATAGCTATTCCATAATTTTTTAAAGTAATAATTTAGATTTTTTGAAAATTTTGTTTACAATTTTTTAGATACCCCTTCGGGGCGCCCCTGGAGCTCGCTCTCTCTCTAATGCTCTTTGGCGCTTTCGCTCTCTCGCAGCCGTGTGAAAGTGGAGCAATGAATGGCTGGCAAAAGAGCGTCTACGTCATCCAAGGGGTGTAAGAACGGGAGAGAATGTCGAAGAGAAAGGGGAGTAAGAGTGAGAGGGCAACAGAAAGGGGGCGGTGCGCAAACGAGATAGAGCGATGAAGCGAGGGAGAGAGCGCACTATGGAAATTGTTGTAAAGTATCTTAAGTACACTATCTTTGTGTAGTTACAGTTAGTTTATTAGCCGCACACACCCGCCTTTAAATACACCCACACAATCACCGTTGATATGGCGTATTTACCCCGAACTGAATTATTTGTGAGGAAATCAAAACAAAGCCAGATAATCGAAATCAAAAAGGGAACTTGTACTTAAAACTTGACTAACACTCGCAAAAGGTTAGCAACAACAACACCATTAAGGCGAAGAGAGAAAAGCAAAATATTTGCCAACAGGCTCACACACACTTATACAACTGGGGCCAACACAATAACTCTACGTACATTTAAGCCTTATTTAAACAACAAAAGAAATAAAAAAAAATTCACACACATCTGGAAAATTTTCTACTTTTTTCTTGGGCATTCAACATGACAGATAAGATAAAGGGTTAAATTGATCGATGGGTGCATTAAAAAAATGATGTATATCAAAAGTTATGCTATTATTAAATAATTAAAAAAAAACAAAACATTGAACTCAAAATAAAAAAATTGGTTATTTAAAAAGAAATGATTGACTATTATTATAATAATCACAATTGCTTATAATTTTATTTGTAGATATTTTTCTTTTTGTAATATCTATCAGTTTAATTAATTCATTGGTTTTGATGATAGACTCGATGATGATGATTAAATGGTAGGAAAATATTTATTTAGTTTTATTATTTTGACCTAAAGTGTAGGTGCGCCTTTTTACTGCGTTGCTTTTTTACTGATTTGCAGGAGGTTACATCAAGACTTCCAAGTATTTCTATTTTTGAGGAGCATACGCGCATGTCTCGATAATGCCTGTTGCATCCAGGAATCCGTGGACCTACCCCAACTCCCTCAGATACAGAACGATATTTTAAGGGTTTTTCAGTGGACAATTATTGGCAAAGTATAAAAAATAGTTCTGGCTTAAGACCTCTGCACAGTTCAATTGGAATATCATGGCCACCTTTAAACTTTAAGTTTAAATCGCAATACATCAAAAACAAATTATAATTCTTCTCTTTCATAGTCATATGGATCTGTAAAAATGTGTTCGCTATAATTCGAAATGTAGAGATTCCATGCAACTAATTCCAAATGAACTGTGTTAGAAGCCTTTAAATACACGTAAAATGCTTAAGAGAGGTATTTTAAAGTATTGCTGAAAGAGCACCTGGTAAGTTTCCTCTTGATCATTGGATTCCTCAACCTCCACTATTAGTTGGCGAAGATGGTGCCCACGGGAAATACGATGATCCTCCGTTTTGCTCCTACCACCAGGGATTCGTAGTGATAGTTCTTGACCAGGGCGACATCGTTGCGATCGCCCTCGAAGGCCTTTTGAATGGGACTCAAGTCCGGATTGAAGCAGTTGAGGGCGACAATGGCGGATGGCAGGAGTGGTATCAGTTCGTAGGCACAGGCTAGTTTCTCATTCCACACGCTTACTTGGCCATAGGGCAGGAGGTCCCTTTTAGCCAACTGGCCGGCCTCCTTGGCGGTACGGAAGGTATGAAGCGTTACAACTCCAGTGGCTCCGGTTCCCAGAAAACTGTGCACACAGTCGTAGACCAACAGTGGAGATTCGTCGGCCTTCAGGCCTACGCCCTTTACCACCTTCGCCTTGAGCTGATCGATCTTGGCCAGCGTGCTGATAAAACTAGGATTCTTTGCTACTTGTTTCGGCAACGAACGAAGATCCTGGGCCACCAGACCCACAAACTGATCGGCAATGCTCTCCTGGATCACTAAAACGGCCACGGATCCCTCGGCGAAGGGATTCTGCAGGGATTCGAGCAACTGCTGGCGAGCAGAGTGCAGATCACCGTCCTCGAAAACGATCATCAACTGGGGGGCAAGCCATTCGGAAACACTGGGGATCGTCTCAACCTGGGGATGGAAAATATGGTTTTGAGAATAGGGTTTTTTGGTATATAAAACTAAATTAAGATATGGCATCTTATTTGTGATTAATTACACTTTGTAGAGTCTCATTTATTCTTAATGAATAGCAACATTACAAGAAATTGTAAATCTTCAGCTTTTGAACTTACAAAATACAAATTTTAAAAAACCTTAACTAATCTTTAATGTATATAGAATACAAAGTAAGGCAATAAACTTAAATAATATTAAATTTTAAAGACAACGTTTTCCCAACAGATTTTTTAGGTATTCAAACGGGTGTCTGGTCGAATTGTACGAATTTCCAAATAGAATTATCAAGATCCAGGTACATATTATCTTGTTTAGGTACTTATTATTGTAGCTATATTTCACCTAAGTCCACAAATGGTGCCCCTTCGCATCACTGATATCAACTCGCCCTTCTTGTATATGTATACATATATTATAGATCAGAAACAAAGAATAAATGTACTTTGCAGGGTTCGAAGATGTGTCCTTATCTAACAAACTTGTAGTACCCACTAAAAAGCTATAGCAATGATCCGATTTGGAAACGAATTTCTCTCCGTGTCCGAATAGGATCAAGGTTATGTCTGAAATTCGTGGTGGGGGATGGGCACTGACCTTCGATTCCACCTCCTTCGAAGACGGCTGCAGCTGGTTGACCATGTCGCTGGTGATCCTGGTGACCTGGTTGTCCGACTGCTGGGATCGGTTGGAATTGCTGGCCATGCTCTGCTCCCGGTTTCCTCTGATCGAAAAGTTAAAACCAACACCCGATTGCCCGATCAGCTGCGTTATCAGCGGCTCACACACACACACAAAGCAAATAGCTGATAACTTGGAATACCAGCATTTAGTATTTTTTAGTACTTACATATTTTAATCTTGGCTCGTTTCGCAACACTGTTTTCGAGTTGGCTTGAAAGGGGGCAAATGAAAATAACGGAAAAATTAAGGCTTAGATTCAAATTGAATAGAGACTTTAACCTTAGCAACTCAACTTTGATGTCAAGTAAGGTATGCAAACATTGGATGGTTCTTTAACGACACTAATTTATTTGGGGCTTACAATTTAATCACTACCAAAATGATTAAAATTCGTCCGCAATTTGGTTTTAAATAAAAAATTAATTTAATTTTCGTCTGGCGAAGGGAGTGTGACCAGTTGGCGGCAGATCAGAAACGCCATCTTATCGACGCGTTTTGGTATTCCGATTGGAAAAAGCAGCACCACACCAAATCTGATCAGATTTTTAGTCTTGTCTCGAAACTTAAGCAAAGCAACTATAAACCATCGATATTACAGTTATTTGTGTCATCGATGGTTTGACGCAGTAGCTATAAATTGTTAATTGTTCTTTCTGGCACACACAAACACACACACGCAGACAAACAGGGACGCACACTCGCTTAGTGGCAAGAAGGGGAACCAACGGACGAAGAGGATGAGCAGCCAGGGACACCACAAAATGCAGGGATGCAGCGGACTCTCCGGCGGAATGCAAAGTGCCGCATCCAGTGCCTCCGGCAAGAACAACGGCGCCCAGGAGCAGGAGTTCACCGACGAGATCGACCTGGGCGACCGCTTCTCGGCGGACATGGCCCGCCTCTGCATGAACGAGCGCTACTCGGACGTGGAGTTCGTCGTCGAGGAGCAGCGCCTGCCCGCCCACCGCGTCGTCCTTGCCGCCCGCAGCGAGTATTTCCGGGCCCTGCTCTACGGCGGAATGGCGGAGACCACACAGCGCCAAATACCGCTCGAAGTGCCGCTGGATCCGTTCAAAGTCCTGCTGCGGTACATCTACTCGGGCACCCTGCTCCTGTCCACCCTGGACGAGGACGCCGTCATCGATGTCCTGGGCATGGCCAACCAGTACGGATTCCAGGACCTCGAAATGGCCATCTCGAACTATCTGCGCCAGTACCTGGCCCTCAACAATGTTTGTATGATCCTGGATGCCGCACGACTCTACAACCTGGAGGAGCTCACCCAGGTGTGCCTCATGTTCATGGATCGCAATGCGGCCGAGTTGCTGCAGCACGACTCCTTCAAGACCCTGTCAAAGGTAGGTGGATATGAGATTGGTTAAGGCCAGCAATAAACATAGCTAATCCCTACAGGAATCGCTGGAGGAGGTGCTGCGACGCGACTGCTTCTTCGCCCCCGAGGTGCAGATCTTCCTGGCCGTTTGGAAGTGGAGCCGCTACAATCCCAACGTGGACATCAAGTCGGTGGTGAGCTTTGTGCGCCTGCCGCTCATGAACCTCGAGCACCTGCTGCAGGTGGTCCGTCCCTCGGGCATCCTGGAGCCCGACAAGATCCTCGACGCCATCGACGAGCGGAGCACCTCGAAAACACTGCCCTACAGGGCGGCCCTCTGGCCGGAGGAGAACGTGGCCACCGCCAAGTTCTTGTCGCGCTGCATCCAAGGCGAGTGTCGCACGGCCCTGCTGGATGGCGATGTGACCACCTACGACATGGAGCACGGCTACACCCGCCACTGCATTACGGACAGCAACGACGCGGGTATTGTGGTGGAACTGGGCACGCTCTGCATGATCAATCACATACGAATGCTGCTCTGGGACAGCGACAGTCGGGCGTACTCCTACTTCGTGGAGGTGTCCGGCGACCAGCAGCACTGGGAGCGCGTGGTCGACTACAGCGACTACCACTGCCGCTCCTGGCAATACTTGTATTTCGCAGCGCGTCCCGTGAGATTCATCCGCCTAGTGGGCACCCAGAATACGGTCAACCGGGTAAGTAAAATACAAGAAATTATTGTGTCTTAAATGATCAGAGCTTGATTGTGCATTCATTCCATTCATGTTAATTATGTTAATCGCGCAATTTAATCTATGTATGACTTGCTAATATCTGTCTACAAAATGGTGGCTGTAAAATTATTAATAATTAAAGTCGGAAATAGATTCAAGATATGTCGAGTTAATAGAATGTATTTTACCTGTACACCTCTAAAATTAGTTTGATTTATAAAGATTTAAAATTCTTTTAATTTACTACGAATAGGTATTTCATGTGGTGGGCCTGGAAGCTATGCACACGTTGGCCGTACCGCGACTAATCGACCATTTCGTGGCGCCCAAGGCGAACGTGGCCACCATCGAGAAGAGCGCAATTGTGACGGACGGCGTAAGTCGCACGAGGAATGCGCTGATTAATGGGGACTATGTGCGATACGACTGGGACTCGGGCTACACGTGCCACCAGTTGGGCAGCGGCGAGATCGTCGTCCGTCTGGGCCAACCCTATCACGTCGGCTCCATGCGCCTTTTGCTGTGGGACTGCGATGACCGCACATACAGCTTCTACATCGAAACCTCGACGAACCGCAAGGACTGGCAGATGGTGGTGGACCGACGCAATGACAAGGCCCGCTCTTGGCAGAACTTTCACTTCACTCCACGTCCCGTGGTCTTCATCCGCATCGTGGGCACCCGCAACACGGCGAATGAGGTGAGCAGTGCGACTTGATGTCTGTGGGATTTCATTTAGTTTATGATTCTTGCCTTTAGATCTTTCATTGCGTCCACCTGGAATGTCCCACACAGGACAAGTGCTACTTAAAGAAGATAGCCGACATGGAAAAGGATCGGGAGAAGGTCAAGGAGCGGGAGACGGACAAGAAGGTCAAGCCTGAAGATGACAATACTGCCTCTACCTCAGGAACTTCGATGGCTGCCCTCACTGAAAGTCCCTCCTCTTCGACCAGCAGCCAGAGCGTCTTAAAGTCCACCCACTGGCCGCCACAGACACAGTCTCCCAAAACGGAGCAGACCAAGGAAAAAGCAGCGGCCGAAGTCCCCGTCCTGCCGACCAATTCCCCGACAACCACGCCGACGCTGCCTGCTCCTCTAACCCCTTCAGTCTCGCCGCCTCTCAAGCGAGAGCGAAATGAGCCAGGCAAGAGTCCCAACGCAAGCCCCAACACAAGCACCAGTCCGAGCAGCAATCCAAGCCCAAGCCAAAGCAGGAGCAGAAGCCAGAGTGCGGAGCCCGAACCAGTGCCGCCATTGGTGGAGCTGGACACGAAGGAGGAGCGCTGAGAGCTGCTGCAGATGATGATATTTTGTACTTGATCCCTTTGAAATACTCCTGTGGTCAAACTGTTAATCCCTGGCAGAGTGTGCACCCTGTTAGTTGCGCTTATTTGTAGTTTGCAGGCCGTGCTGCTCTTGTTATCTAGTCCTTCCCAGTGCCCCGATTTTGGGGCTCCAAAACATTCGCATCGCTAATTGTTTTTGCGTTCATACCTTAATATATATATGTACAAAATGTATATATATATAGTTTTGATTTATTGTGATCCAGAGAGAATTCCTTTTGTTTGCAAGGCAGCAGAGTTATATTTATATTAGGAATACCACTTAATTCTATGCACATACTTATCGCGAACTCGAATGAGATTTCCGAGCAGCTGAACCAAAATTGTATACGAGGTCCGAACACGGAGTCGGCATCTGTCCAGAGTTGTGTCCTGTCCATGTCCCCAACCAAAATTATCCAGTTCATCCGCAACTCATAGTCTAGGCTCTTCGAGCGGCCCAAAAAGTAAGCTCTATTTATTAGGCAAAATTTGTCATAGTTTGTACTGCACCCAAATAAAAGCTAACCAAAAAAATGAACTACACAGCGTCTTGTTTAACTTCCATGGCAATTACGATAGCGGGATGACGCGATATCGGTGACAAGTGTAGACAAACAGCGCGCTGAATCTGAGAACACCCTTAATTACAGCATACTCTTACATTATAGTGTAAAAGACCATTTATTTGTATCTAATTTATTTATGAAAAGGATAGGTTCTCTCACATATGTTTAATTTTACACTTTTATTTAAGGGTAAAAAGAGAAGAGAAGAGGAAAATAAAGTAATATTTTTCTAAAAAAAAATTCTTTGATTTTTTTTTTTGCTAATTCCAACCAAAGAACATTTTCATTACCGAAGTTTTTGAAAAACCTTTAGATAAGATAAAAATGAATAAATACCAGTTGTGGCTTCCAAGTGTTCCAAATTATTTCATGATCGAGACCACTGTGCACCGCACATGCCACCCACTGTTGCCACAGCATCCACAATAAGCTCCACAGTTAACAAATTCCAATCAGACGCGTCCCACGGCCGCTGCAGCGCGGCAGCCATAAAAGTCGAATCAGAACGTTAAACCAGTTGCGAATGTCGAACAGTGGGCGTCCAGAATGACAGAGAAGGGCGAAGCAGAAAGAGACGGCAATCGAAAATAATAATTGCAGTTAACACTGGACCAGATTGCTATTTTTAAAAACTGTTCTTTTAAACAGCTCGATTACACAGCTCGGCGACACTAAAATTTGAAATTCGGTTGGGATTTCCGTATGATTTACACCCAAATTAGAGTTGATTAGAAAAAAGGAGTGTTTTTTTTTAAATGAACTTTTTCCATATTTAATTCACACTGTAAAATAGCATTATAAATCAATAAGTCATATATTTTTCAATTATGAAATGCAATTCTAACTAATTTATGTTCAACAAGCTATTTAATTATTTTTATGCGTATTTTAAAAGTAAAACATTTGTTGCTTAGAAATTTGTCTAAAAGTATGCAATAATAATATAATATTTTGTAGTGCGGAAGTCCTATGACTTCATTCCGGAAAACCGACTTCCTTTTTGGCTTGCTGCAAACTGTTAGAAACCTTTTTAAGTAAACTTAAAATTATATTTATTTCTGTGGGAGCTCCTTATACAAAAAAGGGAACCAAACTTTTTTTCGTTTTATTTCTCCCATAAAAAACAGCAACCTGGCCCATTGTGCAGTATTTAAGAATCAGCGGCGGCGCAGGCGCAGCAAACTAGTTTGCCCGCTGGGGGGGCGATGGGCGGTGGGCTGTGGCTTGGCGCAGGGGCGTCGTCAAAGGGCGCGCGCAACTAACTAACTGGCTAACTAACCAACTGGCCGAGTGGGAGAGCGGGTGAGAGCGAGAGTGAGCGGCGCTCGATTTAGTTAACCGTTAGCCTGCAGCGGCCGCAAGGCAGCGGCGCAGCCAGCGGTTCGCAGTTCAGTCGACAAGCGACCGCCGTGGACAAAACAACGCAGCAATCGCATCGCGATATTGCCTTACTACCAGATATATACATATATATGTACACACACTTTATATTTTAAAATCAGAAGCGCGCGAGGGCGTCATACAGATATAAATATATAGATATAGATATAGCCGCCGATCGACCAGTGGTTATTTTTTGCCTTATTTTTTTGTGACAATCGCGACAAGTGTTTAAAAATAGTTGCCCAGCTAAACTCCCCCGCCAACCACCAAAAGCAGCAACAATATGGTCGAGACCGTGGTCAACATCGAACGCACAACAACAACAACGACGAACGGTCCGCCCGGTGGGGCAAACCCGGCCGTCGGAAGCAATGGCGGTTTCGGAAGCGCCATCCGCCTCAACATCGACTATTTCCGCACCACCCCGGGAATTATCAAAATTGTTGAGTTTGTGAGTACACTTTAAGCTAAGAAATATTCTCAAAATGTTGTGCACAGAAAAAAAAAAATTAAATATAAATATTATTTTGATTGAAAGCTCGGGATTTTATATTATATTTCGTCTGCTAACTTAATTTTATAATTTGGAGCAATAGCTTTCAATAACTTTAGGAAATAAATGGTTAAGAAAAAAGTAGCGAACACTGTTATCGTCACAAATTGAATGGTTTTATCTATAGGTTTCGTTTCCCCACCATTCTTTATTGAGATATCTTGGGACTTAAGAAATCCAAGAGTCCCTCGATGTGTACTCAATTATAGAAATATATCAACAAGTGTGTATACGCACATATAGGTATGTCAGGATCTCATTAGACTTAAGGCGGATAAGATAGGGGGAAGACAGCTTGTGGGAACTGCAAACATGTGAGCCCAGGGCCATGTGGTCAATGGCGCCCCTTTTCAAACCACCTACCACTCGGTTCTTCCCTGCCCCTGCAGAAATTCTGGTCAATAGTTGAATTTAACAGACGAAATACTCCATTTGGCCTGGAATTTGAAGCACTGAGTTTTCCCACAGCCGCAATGGGCACAAATGAAGTCGTGTGGGCGCTGCATTTACGCCAACACAAGTTACTCGCACTCGCACTTACAAGTGGGGGTACACAGAAAAAAATATTCATAGAAACAAAATTGTTAAATGAACTCTAAACTTTCAAACTTTCGTTTGTTATTACTTGTGTATAATATAAGGAACTCATTTAATACTTATACCTTCAAACAGCCTATAGTTTATTTTTAAGATAACTCTTATGAAATTTAAACTATAGGTTTTTAATTCGTGTGTACTTCTGTCTTAGCTGCGTGTGTCACTTGCTCAGTTGTAGAAAGTTTTAAGGTATCCCCGCCCTATAATATACAATATTCCTATGCTTTATACCATATCTACCTCATTAAGCATTCTGTATTGAGCCAAGGTCAAAGGATACAGGCGCCGACAACTGTTGGGGCCGCACATGAAAAATGCATTATTAACTGTTCGTCAGTTGTTATACAAAATCAATAGTGAATATAATTGGGGGGAGGAATACTGTGGGGTGGTGAGGTGGCGAAATTGCTGATATGATTACCATCGCAATAAACTGTCGGCTATAAAGTGCTATTTATTGATTTTCTGCCCCGACAAACAGCGATTATCATAAACGAGCGATGGAGTTGATATTTCTGCAGTTACTCAAAGGGCTTTCTTAGAAATCCCATTCATTTGGCAACAACGAAACTAACTACTTATGCATTGATGTCATAAATGGCCATTCATTTTTTGGTTTCCTTTGTGTCTGTCAATAGGATTTTTGTGGAAACTAATCTTATCGGCCACCTTTGGCGATAGTCAGCTGATAGTCCCAGCGCAACCAAAATGTGTAAAAGTGCGCCACTTAACTTTGCCACAAAAACAGGGCCATATATGCACCTGCTTGGTTCCCAACTGAAATAGAGAGGCCTTAACCCTCTAAATAAATAATTCAATAGTCCAATTATCAAATTGGCGTTTAACTCATTAAACTATTAATTATTTTTAGAACCTATGTGAAATTGAAACTTGTTTTGAATATTAATTATTGAATGTGCATACAAACCAAATACTCACAATTCTTTTTTCCAATGTAGAACACATTTTAAAAAAGGGCGGCCTTACAATAAATCATAATACATTTTTTTAGTTTAAAAGAACTTGATAAACAGTATTGTATGCAAATAATACTTATGTATGTATATGTTGCAAAGCACTTGAAGTGCTAATTACCCTGCAGTTAGGGTTTAAAACGGGTTAACTGACCGTGACTCATGTTGCACAATTTTGCGGATAGTTGGAGTACTGGCTAATCGGATGTTACTCATACGCCCCGTTATCCGAAAGAGGTGGGCGATAATGAGCCGACCACCTGTTCGAGTGGAGAAGAATACGGGGGAAGGCAGATTCGGAAGCCATCGTCGTGATAAGGCAATTGATGCCTGACACCTGACTGCCGACTGCTAATTTGCCCCTGCCCATTACTCATCCGCCCCATAGTCCAATATCGACAAAACCCCCGAAAGTATTACACTTCCAGGAGTTGTAATCAAATTCGGCCTATCTTATCGTGCGCTGCCCTGGAAATTAGCATTTTGGACCCTGAAATGCCCCAACTTATAAGTAGATCGGGCATACATACATACATATTTTATGTATATGTTTATGCATTCCATGGCCAAGTATGATCTATATACACATACAAAGTATATGCAAATCGGAACAAGCACGATTTATTATTAAGTTTTGTTGGTCGCGGTGCCTGCCTTTGAGAATTTTTTATAATAGCAATTACGTAAGATATTTTGGAAGCTGCCAATTCGTATAGAATACACAACATTGTTTGGCATCATTGTCGTGGATTTTAATTTGAATGTTCTCGCCAAAAGCGGAAATTATGACACACATTCGGTGTCATTCAAGAAATTTTAACCACCAGAAAGTAAAGTTGCCTTAGACAGTTGCTGCTGTTTGTTTTTGGATTGGAGAATGCGATCGATCGTTACGGCATCCATTCGTATATGGGCATATAGGTACAGTGCGACCCATATACGTAAGCCGATTGGTTTTTTCTGATAGCAAAACTCTGAAAGACGTAGGAGTATATTATCAATAAATATACGTTTAAGAATTAAGGTAGCTATGTTTATCTATTTGGGTCAGTTGTCTAGGTCACACAATATTTATACATATTTATCATTAATTTTTCTGACTATTGGATAATTTTCAAGATAGTTTCCATATTTAATTATTTTTGATAAAAGAAATGGAGTTGTGGTTATTAATTATAATTATTTTCTCTTCATATGTAGCTAACTACGTCATAATAGTTTTACAGCTTCGAAACGTACTGTACTAAGTGCAAAAAGCTATGCAAATTGTGTATTTGTGTTATATTGTGTATTTGTGTATATTTAAGGTAATTGACGCTGACTAAGTGCACTGCGCTGAGAAAAGTGAGCTCATCTTTTAAGCTTCGTCTTGGCCCGGTTAACAAATTGTTAACGAATAAAATGGAAAAAAAGGGGCCAAATATATAGAGCCTTATTTATTATATGATTTTGCTAAACATATCATGTGATTATTTGCCACTTGGCCACTCAACTTTGCGTGTATCTATCTTGAACAAGCATTGCTATCTGTATTGTTTATCCCAAGCACAGAACAAATATTTACATCGATGGCATATTTTTATACCCTTGCAGAGGGTATTATAATTTTGGTCAAAAGTGTGCAACGCAGTGAAGGAGACATCTCCGACCCTATAAAGTATATATATTCTTGATCAGGATCACCTCCTGAGTTGATATAGCCATGTCCGTCTGTCCGTCTGTCCGTCTGTCCGTCTGTCTGTCCGTCTGTCCGTCTGTCTGTTTCTACGCAAACTAGTCTCTCAGTTTTAAAGCTATCGGATTGAAACTTTGCACACACCCTTCTTTCCTTTGCACGCAGTATATAAGTCGGAACGGCCGGGATCGGCCGACTATATCCTATAGCTGCCATATAACTGATTGATCGGAAATGCCATAACTTTCGTGTTTGTAAAGTTAGGAAGTTGGGATTTTCTATGGGTTTTATATTTGGCCAATCAATCCGACCTACCAAATTTCATAAGGATCGGCCGACTATATCCTATAGCTGCCATATAACTGATTGATCGGAAATGCCATAACTTTGGTGTTTGTAAAGTTAGAAAGTTGGGATTTTCTGTGGGTTTTATATTTGGCCAATCAATCCGACCTACCAAATTTCATAAGGATCGGCCGACTATATCCTATAGCTGCCATATAACTGATTGATCGGAAATGCCATAACTTTGGTGTTTGTAAAGTTAGAAAGTTGGGATTTTCTATGGGTTTTATATTTGGCCAATCAATCCGACCCACCAAATTTCATAAGGATCGGCCGACTATATCCTATAGCTGCCATATAACTGATTGATCGGAAATGCCATAACTTTGGTGTTTGTTAAGTTAGGAAGTTGGGATTTTCTATGGATTTTATTTTTGGCCAATCAATCCGACCTACCAAATTTCATAAGGATCGGCCGACTATATCCTATAGCTGCCATATAACTGATTGATCGGAAATGCCATAACTTTGGTGTTTGTAAAGTTAGGAATTTGGGATTTTTTGTGGGTGTTATATTTGGCCAATCAATCCGACCTACCAAATTTCATAAGAATCGGCGGACTATATCCTATAGCTACCATATAACTGAACGATTGGAAATGCCATAACTTTGTTGTTGTTAAAGCTAGGAAGTTCGGATTTTTTATGAGTATTAAGAATGCATCATATGAATAATTTTGGAGAATATAATTTACAGAGTATTCTGCAAGGGTATATCAACTTCGGCTCCGCCCGAAGTTAGCTTTCCTTTCTTGTTAATTTTAAAATTAACCTGATAGAAAACACGAAGGTGCGTTGACCCGCCTTTGACCTTTCTATGAGATAACTAGAGTTTATCTACTGCTACAAGATAAAAACTATAAAGGTATGAAAAAAATATTAAAAAACAAATTTATTGTATGTGAATATGCCTTAGGTACCATGTTTTTTTATTTCTTTAATATTAAGTCCAAATTGATCTTGTGTTTCTGGCTTTTGGATTTGCTGTGGCTTCCATTGAACTTCACAAACAACAGACAATGCTACACCGAAAAAAATTAACCCAGAGAAGGAAACTATTGATACATGAATTCCAAACTAAAAAATAACTCTGGAAATAAAACTACAAAGTACATACATTGTATTAGTTTTGAATCCAATCGTATAACTTTATAATGTCAACAGTTTAATTTTAAGACAATGCTTCCAAAACTATGTGCTATTTTTTTTTGAGTGTTGGGACCCAGACCGTATAATCGGAGGCCAAGAACTATATCCAATTTCAGTGGCGTTTCGCGTCATTGACTGCGCAGAAAAAGTACATACACAATTATGCTGGAACCGTGATCGATATACTTTGATGCATTCGGTCTCTACGCACTGTTTAATGCTCCACAAGGCAAATTGCTATTACTATACACATGTATGTATGTATATGGCCATAGTGTGTACTAAACCGCAGTTCTTATTCTTTTTAGCCATTTGTCTTGGCCGTTGGAGCGTTACGAAATACATAAACTCGGTATATATTATCGTGCACACATAATCTACATATAAAAGCTGTGACCAACAGACCCCGCCAGTAAAACATATATTTACGCCCATGTATATGCAGATCTAGTCGTTAAATATATACACACAAGTACAAATAAAAAAAAAGCGTCCATAAATTATGTTTAGAGATGATAAAATTCGTATAATTCCCTGACAGATCTCTTTCTCTTATTTTTGAAAAGTGACGCAAATTTGTGGGGCAGTGCGAACCTGAAACAAACAAGCAAACAAAAACATGAAGAACACCATTCAAAAAGTGCTCACTGTTGTCGCTGGGAATGCGAATGCGAATGCAATCCAAGATCAACAAATCGCTGACGGTTCAATCAACCTTTGATTCGCTGCTGCTGTTAGTAAATTGTTGCCAGATAGATGGCAAAAAACAAAGGAGACGGCAAAAGCAACAGACACAACATGTCGCTATCAACAGGTCGCTTTTGGCCCGGCTACCAACTTTCAGCTTTCACTTTTCGTGTACCTTTTGTTTTAGCCAAAACCAAAACCAAATGTTGAAGTCGACTGCGCACACCTGCTTGTTTTCATTTGCTTTTTTTTTGTGCTTATTTGTTTTTCTTTTTTTTTTTGTCGCCAAAAGCTTATTGCTTTTTAATTGCCCAAACAACCACGTCATCTGAGCTTCACTCGCAGGAGAATGTGTGTCATCACAGCCTGTCATCCAGTCTTATGTTCTAAAGGTACTTAACCAACCAAATCAATTTTGATAAGGTTCTGACAATTTACTTAAAGATAGTTGAGTCATCAAAAATATCGGACAAACATAACAAGACCGGTCAAAGAGTTGGACTGGGAAGTTCGTTAAACATTTTTTATCACTTTTCTGCACAGTCATTTTTTGAAAATTTGGAAACCACAATAATTTTGAGGTATGGCACTTCGAAATCGGATGTCTGTAAGAAAAGTTATGAGCTTAGAAGTGCAGGTTTTGGACACTTTTCTGCAAACCCATTTTTCGGAAATTTGGAAAGGGTAAGTCATTAAAAATGACTAAATATCGACTCAAAAAAAAAAAATGTAACTAAAAACACAGATTTTTAGGGAATCAAACCACGATGATTTTGAAGTATGCCACTTTGAAATCGGATGTCTGTAAGAAAAGTTATGAGCCTAGAAGTGCAGATTTTGGCCACTTTTCCCCAAACCCATTTTTCGAAAATTTGGAAAGGGGTGACATCATTAAAAATGACGAAATATCGACCAAAAAAAAAAAAAAAAACTGAAAACACAGATTTTTAGGGAATCAAACCACGATCATTTAGAGGTATGCCACTTTGAAATCGAATGTCTATAAGAAAAGTTATGAGCTTAGAAGTGCAGATTTTGGACACTTTTCTGCAAACCCATTTTTCGGAAATTTGGAAAGGAAAATCGGCCAAAAAAAAAAAAAACAAAAAATAAGCATCGATTAACCTTTATAATTGAATTCGTAAATTAACGCTATCATATGTAAGGATTTACAGCTTCTTCGATCCCATTAGAAAAAGAAAAACCCTTGCCAAAATAAATATGTGCAGAAAAAATCTTGGAATTCACGGCAGAAAAAAACATTCGCTTTTCAGAACAGCCATTTCGTTCATAGTGTGAATTCAATTAAAGGTGACATCACAGCATGCTTACTTCATATAAAATGTGACCTTGAAGAGGCGCCCGTCAATTGGAGATCACGATCTGGGCGAGCACTGATGAAAAATATAATTAAAAGAGAAAAAGAAGGAATTACACTTTAATTTCCTTATTGTTCTTGTTTCGATTCATTATTTGGTGGTCATTAAATTTAACATGAAGGTGATTTTTCATATTTCTAAAAATGTTAAACAAGCCTAATCTTCGTATAATTCTCTTCGTAATACAAAGCTTACGAAATCCTTTTATTTTTTTTTGTTTTAATGGGCGTAGTTTGTATTATTAATATGCACTAACATTGATATATATATGCAAAAGTTTTTCATTCTTAATTTTGGCAATGCAATGAGAAAGTTATAGCCTTTTAAACAATTCTGGCAATAGTCAAATCTAAATCGCTCTGGCCTTTCTACTCACGAATGTCTCCTTTATCCTCTTTATATCCACAGGTGCTGGGCATTATCTGCATGGCCCTGGCCTCTCCGCCCCTGACCTCGGCCACCTCGTTCTTCATGTTTGTGATCGTGCTCTCGTTCATCATCACCATTCTGCTGATTGCCGCCTACTTCTTGGGCATTCGCGAGGCCCTCAATTTGAACATCAACTGGATATTTGCTGTAAGTGGACATAGCATATCAGTATAGGATATAGGATATATATAAGTAAAGTACTAAATACCATACCACTTCCTCACAAACAGGAGCTGATCACCACCGCCGTGCTGACGCTGCTGTACTTCATCGGATCCATCGTCCAGCTGGCCAGGTGGTCGGATGTTATTGGCAAGGGTGCCGGCTCTAATACGGCTGCCGGAGCTATCGGACTATTCAACTTTGTGGCCTACGCGGCGGGCGCAGTCTTCCTGTTCTTCGCCCACAGGTCCGGGGCCACCCACTAAGTCCGGCGAACTCAAGGCTGGATCTTAGCGTAGAATAATATCTAATTGTTTACAGAATAAGTGCAGTTTGCTTACTTGTAATTTCGCCTCTTATTTTTTGTCAACGTATTATTGTTTTTGTTGTTAATTTATGCGAGGACATATGCAAATCGACACGGCATGTGCGGTCAGCTCAATGGAAAGCCAAGCCTTTCTCGACTTGATGAGTTCTTAATGTTATTTTAATGCCTAACTAACATTTAAGTTAAAACCCACCCGCACAAGAACACATCTATGTCTAAGACTAGGGTGGGCGCTCCAAAGAAATTGAAAATATTTATAGATGTCGGTGAAATAGTTATTGTATACGTCTTAATTTTAAAAGTATAATGAGTAATACTTATTTAGCTCAAAAAAAAAATGTGGAACTAACAGTCCCACAAATATTTTTCGGAAAATATAATTAGTCTTTAAAAATATTTCAGCCCTACAATGGTTTGTATTTATTTTCTTCTAACTTTTTTAATGCAATTATTTTGGTTTGTTATAATATCTTTGTTCCAATACTCCGACAAAAAAAAATCACACTTTAAACACGCTTAAAATTATTGTTAATTCAGGTTAAGAAAAAACAATTTATATCGTTAAACGAAAGTGCTAGCCAGCTAGGAGAAAGGAAAACAATTGTAGTAAACTTGAGAAAATCTTAGTTAAAAGCGGCCCACCCTAGTCAATACACACATGCACCTAAAAACAAAAGAAAGAAAAACAACCACGCGACGAAAAAAAAACAAAGAGCGCGCAACAAAGATTTAAGTTCAATAAATTATTTGTATTTTCTCAACCACTGTGAACACAAAATGAGAAGAAGAGGGGCAGCAATGCCACCACCTACCATCAAATCATTTTAATTTATTGGGGTCCTAATCCTTTGCTATAAAGGGGTGAAACCGGTGTGTTGACGGTGGGTTCTGCCGGTGGGGCGCTCTCGTGGTGTGCTATGTGGTGCGCCTGATGCAGATGGCCACCAAGCGGGCGCACCACAAACGGCCGGAAAACGGGGCTAAAGATACTTCTTCATCTCGTCGTAGATGGCGAGAACTAAGGCACCGCCGGTGCCGCGAATAATGTTCGATAGGGCGCCCTTAAAGAAGGCACCGATGCCCTCCTGCTTGGCAATCACCATCCAGCAGTGGGCCGTGTTCTTGTAGATCATCTCGGACTTCTTCAGGCCGGACTGCATCATCATGCGACGGCGCACGGTGTCGAAGGGATAGGACGCAATGCCGGCCACGGTGGTGACCACCTGGGCAATCGCCCAGCTCACATAGAAGGGCGTGCTCTTCGGATTCGGCAAGAAGTCGCGGCACGTGTCGTAGAAGCCGAAGTAGGCGGCCCGGTAGATGACGATGCCCTGCACCGAAACTATGAAGCCGCGGTACAGGCCAATGGGGCCGTCACTCTTGATCACCTTCATCAGACAGTCGATCAGGCCGTTGAACTCCCGATTGCCGCCCTTACCCACGTCGGCGGCCAAGCTGTTGAAAAGAGATGACAAAGGATCAGTACAAAAATAAATAATCAGGAAATTCATTTTAAAAAAAATTACATGAATAACTGTATATTGATAAAGCATTAAAATGATTTATCAAGAGGTTAGTCACATAAGAATAAATAATATTAATGATGCTTTTCAAACTAATTTAATTTTGGCAATTAAGTCCCAGGTTTTCATTTCAAGCTCAGGGATTAAAGTTAATTTTGTGTCCTAAAATATTATATTTCTTGAGTAGAAATCAAAAAGAGTATACCATCCTAATTAATTAAATTAACAAGTTAAAAGATGAACGCCTCTGTAACTCACCGGGTTCGGGCAAAATCAAGGGGATAAACGAAACACAAGGAAGTGGCACCTGCTGCACCGCCAGAGGCCAAGTTTCCTGCAAAATGGCGCCAAAACTGCTTATGCTTGTCTACGCCGCCGAGAAAGACCTGTAAGGAAGGATATTAAGGACATATTTTGACAAAAGAGCGCTCCTCTTTCGCCGTTGAAACTAACCGACTTGTACACATCCTTAAAGGCGAAGTTCAGGGCCTGGGTGGGAAAGTAACGTATCACGTTGGCCAAGTTGCCGCGCCAGAAGGACGAGAATCCCTGCTCTTTGGGAATGCGAACGAAGCAGTCGATGATGCCCTTGTAGCGCTGATCCGCCGCTATCTGCTTGGACACCTCCTGCACCTGCAGGATCAGCTTCACCCGCTCGATGGGCGCCACAGCAGTCTTGGCAATCGCCGCCGAAACGCCGCCCATCATGAAGTCCGTGAGGAATCCCTTCAGGTCCTTGCTATGACCGCCACCGCCACCGCCTTCATCACCCATTTTGGATTTATGGTTTTCTTTAGTTTAAAACAATTCAGTTTAGTATCAAAGTTGGAAGGTAAAAAGACTAAAACGACTTCTACTTTTTCACAATTTATAATTTTGATTCAGCAGCGAACGAGATCTGAACTGACAAAGACTGACGAAGTTCTGAGCCCGTTTGAACTGAAAACATACGAAAGCGTTGGCTTGGCCAACTTAGTTTTCAAATTTTTCATTATCCACTTGTATTCCCATCGAACGTTACTGTGTAAAAGGGAATCGGGAATACCAGTCGAAGAAAGTCCCTCGATAATGAAAAGTGAGTCAAGACTATTTAGTTGAGATTTCAAGAAACTGTGACTAATTTGCTGTATAACACAACGAACAATTTGAAAAAAAAATGCACTCGCTGATAAATTAAAGAAATATACTTCATAAACCTACCAAATTTGTCAATAATTCTTGAAGATTATGAAAAACGACCACCATAAATTTCTTATTGTAAAGGCTAGCTTTCGTTATAAATTATTTCAAAGTGAAATTTATATAAATTTGGAATTGTGCCGTGGGCAACTTTCTCTTTTGTTTGCACATTTAACTAAAATTTGTATTATTCTAGTCTGGTTCAAAAAGTATTCGAGAACTATAATATAATAGCAACATAGAACATTGCCTTTGGTTTTTAAAAATTTATTGTATATTTGTTTTAAATAAAAGGTTTTGTAAAAAGATGCACTCCTAAGATTCGTATTACCCTAGCATCAGTAGGATTAATACACAAAGGTGAGCTTTTAGGCTCGCCCTAATGACTCTGTGAAGCATTTAAACCATTTTGAACGTCAGAACGGCATATATATTTGTATTAAGCAAAAATACAATGTAAGTATGCTACTATAAATTCTTAAATTAAAAAACCGCAAAGATCCCTTAGTAACATAAGCCAACGATCATCATCCCATATAATATTCTTTAAATCACGTAGAACGAAACACACATTAATTTTTGCAATTTAATCCATTGACACACGGCGCAGAAAGAAAACACACTACATTGTACTATTTTTTCAATTTTTATATATTTTTAAACCAACCGAGGTTGAGTTTGTTTGTCGTGTCGGAGGCTAAAGAATCTACAGGTCTTCGGTCGATTCTTTGCATCTTATCGATAACACTGATTTGGCTGGGGAGATGTGGCGCGACCCAGCAGCATGATGGGATATAGTAAATAGCCTAACCCAAACTTAACAATACTAATCAATATCGTCGCTATGTTCGTTCGTCTTTCAGTGTAGTGGGTATCGCATGAGCTGAGTCGTCTCCTCGTCTCCTAGCATTGCTGTTGTATTGTTGTTCTATTGACTCTGGCCATCGTTCCGTAAATTAGTTCCCAGTTATTATAACTAATATAATTTCATAATTATATCAGGGGGAGGGAGGAAGGAAGGGTTCTTATTGCTTGCCGTTGTTCTTGGTAAGAGGTGTTGGTTGCAGATCAAACTTTGCTGTTGCTTTAGCTGTTCTCTTTCAGTTATCTAACATAATTAGCTGGTAGTGTTTAGTTTTCTGTTTGTTTGTTGTATGTTGTTGTATTTTGCTGATTTGAATAATTTAATAATTTAATTTACAAGACCTTCTTGATCTCATCGTACAACACAAGCACGAAAGCGCCGCCAGTGCCTCTGAGAACGTTGGAGAAGGCGCCCTTGAAGAAGGCACCAGTGCCCTCCTGCTTGGCGATGGTGCCCCAGCAGTGCAGTGTGTTCTTGTAGATGATCTCGGTGGCCTTGCGACCCGACTGCATCATCATGCGACGACGCACGGTATCGAAGGGATAGGACACGATGCCAGCGACGGTTGTCACAACCTGGGCGATGGCCCAGCTGATGTAGATGGGTGTGTTCTTGGGGTCGGGCAGCATACCGCGGGCGGTATCGTAGAAGCCGAAGTAGGCGGCACGGTAGATGATGATGCCCTGCACGGACACTCCGAAGCCGCGGTACAGTCCAACGATGCCGTCGCTCTTGAAGATCTTGGTCAAGCAGTTGCCCAGACCGGTGAATTCACGCTGGCCACCCTTGCCAGTATCAGCAGCCAAGCTGTTGGTTAGAGGGAAAGATTTTCGTTATTTTCCTTACAATTTTTCGTTTCACTTTTCTAACTTACCGAGTACGGGCAAAGTCCAAGGGGTAGACAAAGCACAGAGAGGTAGCACCAGCGGCACCACCGGAGGCCAAGTTGCCGGCGAAGTAGCGCCAGAACTGGGTGTTCTTGTCAACACCTCCCAGGAAGACCTACAGCGTTATAGGCACAGGGCGTTAGTTTTTGGGTCCAATTTTGCAACAGCTCCCAGTCGAGTTAAACGACTCACCTGCTTGTACTTGTCCTTGAAGGCAAAGTTCAGAGCCTGGGTCGGGAAGTATCTGATGACGTTGGCCAAGTTACCGCGCCAGAATGACGAGAATCCCTGCTCCTTTGGAATGCGGATAAAGCAATCAACCATACCCTTGTACTGCTTGTCGGCACTGATTTGTTTCGAGATGTGCTGAACCTGCAGGAGCAGTTTCACACGCTCAATGGGGGCGACGGCGGTCTTTGAGACGGCTGCGGAGATGCCTCCGGCAGCGAAGTCCTTGACGAATCCAACAGCATCGAAATCCTTGCCCATTTTGCTGTAAACACATCGCGCAATTGCCCGAAACTCTCATTAGTCTCGCTCGTCTCATTAGCCGTCGTTGGATGATGACTGATACTGATACCGATGATGGTACTTCTGTGATGGTTATGGATGACGATATCCCAATGGCATGCAGGTGGTGCTTGATATACGGATGGGAGGCAGGAGGAGCCGCTCCCCATGCGTTGCATAATGTTACGGTTTACGTTTACGGTATGTATGGTGGATGTACGATTCACTTTCTTTACACAGGTGCAGAAGGCACAATAGAAGAATAGCCCAAAGCCAAATGAAAATGTGAAAATATTCAATGTTCTAAATGATATTTGGAGATGCGATACACAAACCGAAACCAAAAAACATGCACTTTTTTGGATCAACACTAATCGATTAAATGAAATGAGGGGTTAAAAATAAAAAGGTTTTAGCGACAAATGAAAAATTAAATAACGCGAAAATGTTAAACATGCAGTAGAATGTGTTAGTGTAAATGAAAATCAAAACTTAAGGTTAAAGTTAGTTTATTGTATATTTGATGATTTATGGGGACTCAGCATTTTGGTTACAACAAATAAACATGTATAAATGATTATAATGGTATGAGTGTATGAGCAGTCGCCGGCAAAACTGGTTTTGCGGAAAAAAAACTGAACATTGGCCGGTTAAATTTGCCACGTGGTTTAAATCGAGCTAAATAAATGAATAATTGTAGAATATTCGAATTTAGTTCTAACCAGTTTGCAGCTAAAAACTAAGGAGTTGAGTTAACTTTACGGTCGGGATTATGTGTGTTACGTGGCATAAATTGTTTATCCAATTTATTTTATATAAAATTGCATAAATCATATGCAGTTCTAGTTCAATAAAACAGCCTTTTACTGGTTTTCATTGAGTAATGTTTGAGATTGCATAATTGCCACACCACACAAAAAAATTTAAATAAGAGAATAGAAAAAGTTCAATGGAAAAGCCAGTATATGGGCATTGTCGTGGGTGTGAGCAAGATGGCTATAGAGGCCACACTTTTTTGGCAGCTGGCATTCGCCATTGAAGCGTGTTTCGTTAATTTTAGAATTTTTCAAGAGCAGCCCCACTCTTCTAGAGCCGTGTGTGTTTCAATAAAATTTAGCGAAATTAAATTAGCATTCTATTGACAAAGGTTTATGTAACACACAGGCTAAAAGAGAGCGTTTCTCTTCGACATAAATTCTCTTCCAAAACAACCGTTATCTAATCGGGTTAAACTTTTGATTAACTGGAAGAGAGCGAAGCTTTTGGCCAAGAGAGAGAACGTGTGATGTAATAGCCATAGCCCCAGCTGGAAAAATTCTACAGTTGCACGTGGAAAGCTTCCACCGAAGGCTGAGTAGTAGTATCCAATCCAGGGTTAAGTTTATTCTTAATTCATTGTTATTGATTGCATAAGAATGAAAGGCAGCACCACACACCACGAAAAAAAATCATTCAAGTTCAACTTATTGTTTTACATAACCAGGCAAATTATTTTCATTGCTCTAGTTTGATTAAGGTTGGTTTGGAAAAAAAAATATCACTTTTGTTTGAATGAGATGCATGCATATGCATTTGCAGTTGTAACTTCAATTGATTTTCAATTTGTTTTCGCCATACGTACTATTTGTATGAGTTTTATATCACAGCACAAAACCGAAAAAAAATTATCCTTATTCCCTTGGAAGTCAGAAGTCTGCACCGGACGGCAACTGAATTGCTTGTGAATGTTCTGTTCGCCAAAATCAGCCACCTAGCCTGTGCTGCCTCTGCCTGCGTCGGCGACGGCATCGACGTTGACGTCGTTGTCAAGTTCAGCAACAGTTGAGCGAGGGCGAGAGAGAGCTCTCACTGAGTGTGCGAAATGCTGAGAGCTCCATCTAGCGGTTGGCAACAGCAACAGCACGTGTGCGAGCGAGAGAGAGCAAGAGGGGCGGGGGCAGAGAAAGAGCGATAGATCGGCTCTTATCAGTTGCTAAGAATTCAATGCCGTTTTTGTTGCATAAGAGGAAGTGTTGTACGAATGAGTACAAACTCATTGTAAAGCACTTTTTGTTTCATTTTGCCATGCCCGAAAATGCATATATGGCCAATTGTTTTTCATTTGCCCCTTTCGAGGTTTTCGGAGGCGCTTTCGAAATGCTTGCCAAAAAAGAAAACACGCACAAGATTTTACATTTGGCAAAGAGCCGACAAGTCAGCTGCGTAGCAGAGTTGCCGATTCCACTACTTATTAGTCAGATTTGGTTTAGTCAAATGTACAATTCTTTAAAGCGCATGGCCAATCGAATCTTAAACTGGAAATCAATTTTTCACATACTTTTTAATCACTGTATACTTGGACAGTAAACAGTTAATAAATATTTTACAATTATAAGAATGTGTATTGTTAAAAAGATCTCAATCCAAATGTCTATGCTGCTAAGCGATGAAAAAATTGTGTAATAATGTTAGAAATTATATATAACTTGGTTCACAACATTTGTTCTTTACAAGACTGAAGAGGGCATTTCTATTTAAAACAAAAACATTTCGAGTTGACACAAAAACACTAGCCCACAAGGCAGGGTAGCGATTACAATATTTGAAGAACTCTTATTGTTTTTTTTTACGAGTAAAATCGTTTAATTTATTTTAAAGCTACATATTTTTGAATGTAGCTATTTTTAAGCTATTTTTAACCTTTAGCTTAGTTGTAAAAGATAGCATGGGCAACACTGTTAGCATGTGACTTAGCTTTCTGACGTCTGTCCACCGCTCTCTCATTCTCTTTATTCTCCTCTCCCCATCACTTTCGCGCACGCGGAAGAAGGGCGGCGCTCAAAAAAAAAAGTGCGTGAAGCGATTAGATAAACACCGCTGCTAATACAGTTATTTATATAACTGTCTGCGACGCTTTTTCAAGGTCCCCCGCTATCGCAAAAAATTACATAAAAAACAATGAGAGCGGCCCCTGACGGCTGCCCATAAACAAAAAAAGATTGAACCAAAAGTGCAGCGGAGTTGGTGTAAAAGCCAAAAGCGGCCAAGTTTATCCTGCTCACTTTTTGTTCAGTCTGCAAATCAGATTTCTAAGACTAAACAAAAAAAGGGGAGTACAATAAACAAGATGCTTGAAAATCAAGCTGAAAAAATCCGCTGAGACGCGAGAAATGTGATTTGGCAGGGAGATGTAATATTAAACACTAATCACTAATCAGTGCAAAATGGCGCTAAAAGGCCACACAAAGGGGCAAAATAAACATAAAATCACATGAATAGTAGACACAGTTCAAAGTTTGACGTCAGAAGGGGTTAAGTCGCCCAAAGGAAAAAAAAAGTGACGGAACTGTGGAGAAAACCTGATTTGGATTCGCGGGTTTTTTGCAAGAACTTTTTACCTTTAAGAAAAGAAGAAAGCAGGTCAGAAGAGAAAGGGGTAAAAAGAGAAATGGTTACATTTTCTCTTAAAAAAACGGAACATTAACATTCACACACTCACTCTCACACAAACACAGCTAAGCACTTGCACGCGCCGCTGGTGTCTGGGATGGGAGTGAGCGAGAGGGCGCTTCTGGCACATGGAATTTATTCTCCAATGTATTCGTGAGTGTGACTGGGCAGTAGAATAGTCAATTTTTACACTTTTCACTAATAAATCGCCTGCAAATAGTTTGCAATATGCAAATGCAAGTCAATTGGCATAATTTTAGTCGGAAAATACCCGCAGCTGATGTGCAAATTTTTCGTTCAGACATGCCGGCCTGCCAACTTTTTGCCAATTGCATAAGTTGGCAGTTCCAGCGTGGTTGCAAAAAAAAATATGAAGAAAAAATGGGGGACAAATTATCCAGCGTGGCTTTATTAATTTTTCCTTGGGCGTTTCAGATTTACTTTAATTAACAGGGATCAGAGACTTGAGAAGGCCGTTTATATGCCCAGTTTATTACGTGTTTCATTTAAGGCAAACACCGTTTCGGCACAATTACTTTGGCTGGTTATGTAAGCACTTTTCGGCTTTTTTTTATACCTTTCAAGGAAGTTATTTTCAGTGCAGTCAAACCAAGGCTGATTATAATACATAAAAAATTAGTTAAACCACCACCGACACAATAAAAAAATTAGCACATTACATAACTACAGAATCTAGCGCAAGGTGACGTGAAACAAAAAAATCAATGGCAGAATTACGGGGCACACCATGCACTTATTCCCCGTCTTTTTTTTAAGTAGTTGGGGGCTCGAAAAGATGATAATTATGTATAAAATAGCACAATACCTTCAGTTGTTAACTTCTCACAAAAGTCACAGAATAAAAACTTCTTTTGCAGAATCAGACGAAGCCGCGTGCTCACTTGGCGAATGAAATTCGTGAAGTGATGATGTGACCGTGGAACAGTCGGGAAAAGATACCGTCTCGATTTCTTTTACAATTTAAAATTTTTAAGTATATACCACAAAACATTGTTTTCGATATTAAGGGCATTCATTTAAACGAACATCCTGCAAACAAAATTCACCGGCTAAGTCTAGTACTCATACCGACCAAATCTGTTCGTCAGCTATGAGAGGGAGCGAGAGGCAAACGTCTTACGAACCCTTTTTTTACCCCGGTACTCAGATCCCCCATTTTTCACATCGGTACTCAAATCGACGAAAAAATACCAGAAAATTGTATTGCACTGCCAGACGTTTACCCAAAGTTCATTTCAGATGGTTGGCAGCGCGATGTAATCTGAGTACGAGGATGAAAAAGAGGCCTGGCGATGAAAAAACAACTATTAAATTTAAAATGTGTTGTTTTTTAATATTCTTGTTTACCGGAAGACTCGTCTTGCCAAGGTACTTGGAAATATTCTTCAAGGGCACTTTCCTGCAGATATGTTTTTGAATTTGAGCTGCTTTTCAACCAACCCAGCTGGGCGTAGCACACTCAATTCTAGTGAACTCTCAAAAATGATGTCACACTGAAAAGATTAAAGTTTTTTCGCTGGCGAACTTGTTTCTTGATCTGAGTATTAGGCATTAAGAATTTCGTACAGAAAATATACTTTATTTATAAAACGGGGCCACTCAAAGCAAGTGTTCTTTGGCCAATTTCTGCTTTTAAATATACCATTAACGGCCATAAGCTGAAGGCTAGGTATGCCCGTGCATTGTCTATATATATTAAATTTAGAATATACCAGATGATAGTTCATTGAACTGTTAAACCGAATCCGCTCAGCTAACTATCGATAGGCACCTCCATCGCTCGATATACTATCGATAGACCTTGCTCGCGGCGAATGTGCGAATGTGTGACGCGACTTACAAATTTATTTTTACATTTTAAATAAATAAGTTAAAATAAAGTATGCCAGATGCCGAACAATTGCCCGAGGGCTGGGAGAAGCGCACCAGCCGTTCCACAGGTATGGATCGAACGTATAGATGCCCCTTAAAAGTGCCAGGATAGCCGCAATCCGAAATTCAAACAATCCTTAACCGGCATGTTAAAAAATACATATATATTTTTGCAGGCCTAAGCTATTACCTCAATGTGCACACCAAGGAATCGCAGTGGGATCAGCCCACGGAGCCGGCTAAGAAAACCGGAGGAGGAGGATCCGGCGGCGCATCCGCGGCTGGAGGAGATGGCCCCGACGAGGTGCAGTGCCTGCATCTGCTGGTGAAGCATAAGGGCAGCCGGCGACCCAGTTCGTGGCGGGAGGTGAACATCACCCGCACCAAGGAGGAGGCCCAGCTGCTCCTGGAGGTCTACCGCAACAAGATCGTCCAGCAGGAGGCCACCTTCGACGAACTGGCCCGCTCCTATTCCGATTGCAGTTCCGCCAAGAGGGGCGGCGACCTGGGAAAGTTCGGCAGAGGTACGAAAAGGCACATCCTGTAGGCACATTCTGTACGAGCAGCGTTGCTATGGCATGTTCCAAAAGAGCTCAGAATATTGGTTTCTAGGATCTGTGTAGGACCAAAATCAAGGCATTGCCCGTTTAACCAGGTTTTTTGTTGGTCATTCTCTTATCTCTGGAAAGGTAGCATCCTGTCAAGGACTTAGTATAAACGGTATTCCGATAGCTTCTACAAGCTCTGCAGAAGCAGATTCCAAGATATTTCGATTCTAATAAGGTTTCTTAACATCAACTCATATAGCTGCTTGCACGAAAAGATAACTTACACATAACTCCTCACATAGATGCTAATTGCAAATATTAAGCCCTAATCAAAAACAAACTGCACCAAAATATTTAAAAAAAACCGGTTAGTTGGTATAAAATTGTAGCTTAACCGCGAGATAATGCAAAATAGTATGTAGTCCCAGCTATTTGTAGCTTTTTGTAGAACTGTCATTAATTCCACTTCATTATTACAGGTCAGATGCAGCCGTCATTCGAAGAGGCTGCTTTCAAATTGAACGTCGGCCAGCTGTCGGGGATCGTCGACAGCGATTCCGGCTTACACATTATCCTGCGCAAGTCCTAAAGACTCCTCGACCACCGGACCACAGCTCACGTCACTTAACATAAATAAAACGGAATTTACAGCCATTTCAATATAGAATTATGTATTTTAAAATGTTAGGTTTTGTCTAAGCTAAAAAGGGTTTTCATTTTTTAAAGTTCAGTTTGGCGGCCAGCAGCTTGGCCCCGGACGTCTTCTGGGCCACGAGTGTCTGGGTAAGGCTCTTCTCCGCCGCGAAGACCTTCTTGCAGTCGTCCAGCAGCGAGGGACTCTCCTCCACCAGCTTCAACAGGACGAAACAGGCCCGGTTAACGCCAAGCCAGACTTTGAGCTGGAAAAATGATATCGTAAAGACAATTAGGACCAGGATGAATTGGGTTACTTCGGTATCTTAAGCATAGAAAACTACTTATTTATGAAATTATTAATATCAACAAATTTTAAATTAGGAATACTCAATTTATTTAAAACCCATAATTAAGCACTGATCAATTTAGCATACATACGATGCGTTCCTAATAATAGTAACGTTACCATGTCTTCGAAAAAATAAACATTACTTCAACGCAATTTGGAAGAATAATATAATAATCTATTTTGTTACTAAACTAATTAAATAGATTTGAAGAAATAAACATCTAAAATGCAGGTACTTACCACATCGGTGGTCAAGTTTTGCAGGAGCTGTTGGCTGAACGGCGTACCCTCACGTTTTCCATCGTTCTTGAGGATCTTCTTCAATACAATGTGCATGCCGGCCTCCTCGATTCCAGTGACCAATGGCGCCGCCGGCTCCTCTTCCTTCGCCTTTGCCTTTTTGGCTTTCTTCAGCTTGGGTTCTTCATCTTCATCTTCCTCCTCCTTCTCCTTCTTGTCATCGTCCTCCGCATCCTCATCTTCATCTTCATCTTCCTCCTCCTTCTCCTTCTTGTCATCGTCTTGCGCATCCTCATCTTCATCTTCATCCTCATCTTCATCCTCTTCGCCACTGCTACTTTCGGCGTTTAGCAGTTTCCTACGCTGTTTGGTGGCCTCGGCTATGATGGCCTCCACATCGTTGTGGGGCTTCTTCTTATCCTGTGGGAGCGGACCGGCGGCATCGGCTGAAATGCGCCAATCAGGCTGGGCGATCACTTGGGCGAGGGCAGTTACCGCCTTCTCATAGGATTCGCCTTGAACTGAAAGGCAGGAAAGTACAGGATTTTAACATAAAGTGATAATAAATTTAATCATACAAAAAAATCAAAGTAAACAAAACCCAAAACAGGTTGACTTAAAGATATATATATTTGTATATTTGATTGGTATTTGATTAGTGCACTCACTGTGATTCAAAATGTCGGAGGTGACGAGGCCGATGTGGCTATTGGACAGCCAGAAGGCTGCCTCCTCGGCGATGGCCTGTGCAATCGGCGCCTCGATTTGCTCGAAGATCTCCTTGCGGCGCAGCTCCTTTTCCTTTTTGCCGAATGCCAGGCCCTCGTCCACCACTCGAATGAACTCCGGATGGAAGCAGGTGGTGTCGCCGGGAGCCACCAGCCATTGCACCACTCGTCGGCCGTACTGGTTGCCTACCAGCGTTTTCAGGTCGCCGTGCAAGTGGTCATAGATGGCCTTCTTGGTGGCCTTGGTGTCGTCCAATGCGTTCAGCAGCGAGATGAGGAACACATGTCCGTGCTCGTGGGTGGCGATCTTAAGCAGGTGCTCCTTGATGTTCTTGATAATAGCCTGCAGGGATGTTAAAAACATATATAACATTGCATTCTATTTACCATCTGGGATATACTGTTCACTTACTCTGCGGTTCTTGGGCGTGGACTTGTAGAAGCATATGACACCCGCCTCGCTGCCCTCTTTGGTGGACAGCATGTGAGGCACCAGGGCCGCAAATGCCGTGACCGTCTCCTCCAGCTTTTCCTCATCCTCGTCGCAGGCGCGCAGGTATTCCAACATGACGGCGTGGACCAGCGAACTGTCCACCAGCTGTTTGTTGGCTACATGATCCAGATTCGCTTTTACCGAGCCCAGAATGGAGGCCTTCATGTTGGTAGCCTCCTTGTAGGTGTCGCTAAGCGTCTTCACACTCGAATCCTTAGATTTTCGGTATAGATCGCCATAGAACTCCTGGCGCATGTTAATGCGCTGTTGGGGCGTGGCACTCTGGTACATTGTGTCCAGCAATCCACTGGCGATGCTATGTCCGGCCAAACGGACTATATGTCCGTACAGACTGTCCACAAGCTTTGATTTGGTAGCTGGTGCACCGTATTTGAGCATCCGCTGGACGCAGAACTGAGCGTACTTCGACTGGCACATCTCCACGATGAAGGGCAGTAGCTGATCGGAAATCTCGGCTCGCAGAGCTGGTGAGGCGTACTTCAGCATGCACTGCAGCACGCGGGCGGTGTCGTGAGCCTTCACCACCTTCGAGATGGTGTCGCCCACGTTGAGCACTTTGTATATCTGCTCCACCAGCTTGTCCTTGTTCTCTGTTCGGCGGCTGCATGATAAACATAAAATTGAGTTATTAAAATGATGGAAATACATAGCAGTAAGTACATATAAACCATTGCCAAGGCTATCTACCGATATGAAAAACCTTAGGAAGTAGATGTGGCAGTTTTGAAGCTTTATGGCTTAAAACGTTTACAACGGTAGGTAATATATAAGTCGACTATGTCATACATCTCTTGTTATTTTAAAAAACTAAAAGAGGTATAGGAATGCTATTTTGATTCAATGATAATTTAGAAGTACAAATATGATTGGTCTAAAGTAGAGAACACTATTTTATAGCTGACTTCAAAATATCTGGAAAAGTTCCAAGACTTGATTTTAAAGTTCTGACTCCTAAGGCTTGTACCATAGCTAAGCCCCGTGGTTTTTGGGGAACCTCACCATCGCAGCTTTTCGTAGATCTGTTTGGCCTCCTTGGTGATCTCGTAGGTGTCCTTGGAGCTCTTGCGCTTTAGCTTGAGGTCCTTCTTCTCCTGTTTGAACTTGTTCCAGTCCTGTTTCTCGCCCTCCGCCGGCGCCTGTGGCTGTGTCTGTGGTTTTCCCCGGAACTTGTTGCCCTCGGCGAACTTGTTGCCACCGCCTGCTCCTCCGGATTTATCGAACTTCTTGAAGCCGCCGGTTCCGGGCTTGTCGAACTTCTTAAAGCCTCCACCTCCAGGCTTGTCGAACTTCTTAAAGCCGCCACCTCCAGGCTTGTCGAACTTCTTAAAGCCGCCACCTCCAGGCTTATCGAACTTTTTCCCTGGACCTCCGGCAGATTTGTCGAATTTCCTGGCGCCTCCTGCTCCACCAGGATTGAATTTCTGTCCATTGGCGGGCTTGCCTGGCGATTTGTTACCTTTGAAGGCCGGCGGCGGCTTGTCGCCCGTTTTGCCCTCCTTGCCAGTTCCCTTTGGCTCCAAACTGACCATGTTTTCTTAATTTATTTCGAAACTTAAACTAACTATTAGCAAATGTTTTGCTAAGTTTTTTGAAATGCCCTACACGTGCTGTTGACTTAAAGTGACCAGAGCGTTTAAATATACCGTAAGTTAGTTAACATGTTTTTTAACTCAAACTGTAAATAAAGGTATATATATATTTGGGCCAATAGTATTTTTGATAGATATCGGTGCGGTCACACTTTAATTGTGTACAGTACAGTCGTCACATCACGCCTCCTGTTATCGAAGGCCTATCGGTAGGCCGATAGGAAAATAAAAAAAGTTTTTTCGCGTTGTTGTACTGTCGGGAATTTGTTTTTGCGGCAAAGCTAAAGAGAAGGCAGGGTAAACAATTGGCGCATCCAATACGAGCTGGAATCGAACGACAACGCAAGCCACGAAACACGGCCGCAACATGGTAAAGCTGGGCAAGAAGAGGGTGGTCGAAGAGCTGACCCGCAAGAAGCTGGAATCGGAGGGCAAGCGAAAGAACGGTGCCGCCCCAGAAAGCGATAACGAGGAGAAGGACCAGCCGGGCTCCAACGGGGACACCATCTCCTCGGCCTCCCAGTCGACGGCCAGCTCCGCAAAGAAGCCGCTGGCCAAGCGCAAAGCCCGGTCCACGGTGCGCTCCGGTTCCGATGACAGCGACGACCTGCCCCTCAACGGGAACAAGGCCTCCTCCGCCGGCGTTGGAGCATCCGCGCCCAAGAAGCGCAAGCTGGAAAAGCCCAAAGCCACCAGCCACACTTCTGCCGCCAAAAATGGCAAGAAGGCCGCTCCAGAGGATCTCGTGGACGATGTCGAGCTGGCCAACAGCGATGACGAACCGGAAGCCGAGGAGGAATACGAGGTGGGACCTGAAAGAAAACATTTAAAGCCCGGTAGTCTGGTTAAGTTCAGTTTATTTAATTAACCCAGACAGATAAGTTTAAAGTTTTGTACCCTGCAGTTGTTATTATTATGGTTAAATTATTTATTTACCATAAACTATCTGATATCTGAGGTACTATTCTATATTGAGGCTTGGTATGGAGGGAATATCTAAGGCACAAAAGAAAAATCATATTTCCAAGAATTAAAGGAATTCAACGAAAAAGTGCGCGAAGTTTAAGCTAAATTAGTTTGCAACTTTCCAAAGGAAAGTTTCTTTTAAATCAAGCTTCTTAACAAGTGCAAGTTGCAAATATCAATTGATTCAAATCAGATATATATCTTTTAAAAGAATCCTATAGATTTTGACGAAATATGAGTCTTACAAACAAATTTATCAACCTGTAGTCCTGTAGACTTGTACTAGAAAGACTTGTTCATAAATAAGCATAGTGTTTTATTAAACTCATGTCCAATTGTTCAAAGAAAACTGCATTCCCTTTTTAAAGTAGCTGCTTTAAAAACATAATTCCCTCAAAACAGTTTATTTTCTTAAACGAATACGTACAGTTTTTGGAACAATTCATTCTCTTATTAGTTGTTTTCGAAACACGAACTAGAAAGGGAAATCGATCTTTTTAATGAGACAGAAGATATTTAGAAAAAATTGGTACAGTTGTTGAGAAAAATATAAATGTCCTGAACGGATCAAGAAACTCGGTATCTTTTAAACTGTAAGTTAACTTTAATTGTAAGTTTATACTTCAGATATTACAACCTTTTATACTTGATAACACGACTACAATAAGTTCTGATCAGACCTTCTAATAAGTTAATTACAATCTTTTTAAGGTGGAGGCGATCATAGGCCACAAGACAATGCGCGGCGCATCGTACTTCCTGGTGCGTTGGAAAGGATACAATAAGGATTCGGACACATGGGAGCCAGAAATCGATCTAAACTGCGACGACTTGATCGCTCAATTCCGTGCTAAGGTAATATTCAGATATGCTTTATACATCATTGGCATTATAAAAACAAAAATCACATTCATCAAGTGTAACCCTCCACTGGGTATAAATAGGTTCCTTCCAATTTTCTTTAATTTCTAAGAATGTAATTAATAAATAATTATTTTCAAGAAATGAACTATTTATCATACCTTTTCGTCAACTCCATCGTTAAGAACTCAAAGCCGGACGCAAAATCAAAAGCCAAGCCCCCCCTAAAGGTCGTGAAGAAAAGCGGAGCTGGCGTAAGAGGACGCCCGCCAGGCGGAGCAAAGAAGACTGCTACCCCAGCTGATCCTGAAAAGGAGTGGGTTGTTGAGCGGATCATTGACTTTGTGGACGACGAGGAGGGCGGTCTGTACAGGATCAGGTGGAAGGGCTTCGGCGCCAAGGATGATACTTGGGAGCCAGAGTCAAATCTGTCCTGCGAGGGGTTGATTGAGAAGTTTAAGCGCGACCTGGTCACGCAGAAGAACGTAGATACCAAGGAGCTGCGCGAATCACCCAAGAAGACCAAGCGACTCGTCAACGAATACTACCCTAGGACGAATCTTCACAATCGCATTGAGCGCTCATCGAAGCGTGCTGCCGCCAAGAACCGGTGCGTTTAATATCTCTATATACAAAATAAGGTTAGAATAATGACACAGTTCTAAAGTAATTTATAGTAGATGCTCTTTGCTTTCTTGTAGTTTGAGTCTTTTTTTTTCATTTACTTATTTGTATTTTATTTACGTTTTCGAAAATTCCCAATTCCAAAATTCCATTTAAAGGCAGATACCAGAAATAAAAAAATTGATTTATGCTTATGCTTATCCCAATAAGTTCTTAATTAAAGAATTTAAACTTATATTTAAATATACAATTGGAAAGATCAATTTTTTTAATTTCGTTGTTAAAAAAAATATTTTTTTTCTTTACTAGCTTATTTATTTTTATATAACTCAACGTTGCTGCTCCATTGTTATTTTGGTTCTTTTAATTGTTAAAGAATAATTATTATCTTATTTCCTTTTCACTTTTTTGAAGTTTGTGACTATATTACTATATGATAATTGATATCACTCTTTACTTGCAGTGTATTTTACGGCGAGGACTGAGGAAAGGTGGCGGCCCCGCCCCCTCGAAATGGTCGTCGGCGGAGGCGGCAACCTTAGAATTTTAGTGCATTTTGATTCCTTTTTTCGGCGTTGGTGTAAGGACACACGCGGGCGGTGTACGTGAAGTGTTGTGCGAAATTGACAAGGAAGGATTGAAGGAGCAAATGGGGCACGGACCGAAAGTTATCGCCCCCGAAATCCTGACAAGAAACCCAAGCAAATACAACACATTTAAAAATACAATTTACCTAGCACTTAAGTGAGGTCAGGCGCTCGATTGCAGCACGGTATATATGTAGTATTATATCTGGTTGTGCTGCATTCAACCAGCGTAGGATATAAGCAATGTAAACCTAGACCTAAACACACAACTTTAACCCTTAAGCTGAAATTTAATAATTTGTAACCTAAGTTTTGTCTCTTGAGTAAATGAAGTCCTTCGCAAGTAATTGACACAGCTGCAAATAGCCTCTTAACTTTTCTTCCCAATCGTCTCCATTTGAAATATGTATACAATAGTGTACACAAAATAATTACATAATAATTAGCAAGGAGGCGCAGCAGTCTCCAGTATGATGAATAAATGTAAACCATGTCAAAAATTCACTCCAATTATTGCCTTTTCTCTGGGGATTCTCTGGCGATTCGTTTTGTTTTTAACATTTTTAATTAATTTCAAGTGTTAGTATTTACTTTACGTTATCAATTTATTTAAATATAATTTGTTCACATTAATTGGACTTTATTCTTCTAAATGCCTCAATTGAAGATTGAAACGCATTAGTTAAAATCATACTTAATGTATATCAGTAAAACAATTTTTAAAAGGACCAAACTATATTTTAATCGGAAATGTTACCTGAGCATGCAGCTATTGGTTGCATTTTTTATCGCAAAAGTATTTGAAGCTTCCCGAAAAAAGTCAAAAATCACTTATCAATGACCTCTAAGAGTTGCTTAACATTTATTTAACTTTCGTTCGACAATCAGTGATAGGTGCTGCTCCATTGCTAATCCTCTAAAGGCCGGCCTGCAGTCCGAAACCAGGTCCCTTGGGCTCCTCACTCAAGGAAGTGGGCTCGCCCTTTGGCTCGCTGGCAAAGCGACCGTTTCGTGGGCCAGGGGGCGAAATTTTATCCGCCTTCAGGTCGTTTAGGATGTCCTGCATGTCCTTGGCCGTCAGATCCTCCTGCAAAGCAAGGAAATCGTTAATAAAATACATATTTTTGGTTTCCTCTTTGGACAATCTATCTAGTTATTATATACTTTAAGAAATCTAAAAATTATTAAATGTTAAGTTTTAATAATTGAAATGGTTAGTCAATCTTAAACTCAAATTCAGCTATTAAAACTAGAAAACAACTAATAAAAAAGGTAGTGAAAACGTTTAAAATAAGACAAGTTGTTTAAATTATAACGGGAAACTTAATAGCAAGCTTTTTACCTCTAAGTCATTCATAATTATTATTATTAATTTTATCTTTTTTTTTTAACAAATATCCAATAAATACATTTAGTTCCTAGGATTTCATTAGCTCTTTGCTGGTTAACAGATTAAGATGATTAATTTCAAGGAAAAAAGCGAGCTATCCACTACATTTACAATCAAAATTTGTAGTTTGGCCGGTTATTAGCACTTCAAAGGGTGTGGATGTTAAGGGACCTGGAATTCCTAGCTGAGAATGCTTACATAGTAGTCATCGTTGATCGCCACCATAGGGGCATTGACGCAGGCGCCCAAGCATTCGACCTCCGAGATGGTGAACTTCCTGTCCTTGGTGGTGTCGCCAACGCCGATGCCCAGCTGCTTCTTGCAGGTCTCCAGGATGTCGTCGGAACCGCGCAGCCAGCAGGGCGTGGTGGTGCACACCTGGATGTGATACTTGCCGGTTGGTTTGCGCAAGAACATCGTATAAAAAGTGGCCACCTCGTAGACGCGCATGTTGGGCAGCTGGAGGATCTCGGCCACCTTGTGCATGGCGGAGATCGGCAGCCAGCCGTATTGGCGCTGAGCAAGATCGAGCAGCGGGATCATGGCGCCGCGCTTGTGACCCTCCGGATAGATGCTGAGTATGGCCTCCACGCGCTTCTTGTTCTCCGCCGTAAACTCGAACGGGATGTTGGGATTATCCTCCGGCGTGTCGCGATGCACGAAGAGATTGTCGCTGGCCCGGGCACTGCTGGTGGCAATTGCCCGGATATTGGCACGCTGCAGAAGAATCACAGATCCTTAATGTTATTGTTTTCCTGGCACGAATTATATAACCATGGCGGCAGGTAATCGCAGACTTCCTGACCACATTTATGGTTATTTTGGACGGTGCATTACTCACCACAGCGGCCAGCGTCTTGGAGGCACAATTCGTCAGCATTCTGGCGTTTCCAAAATAAAGAAAGGCTGAAAATTTGCTCTTATGTGAAGTTCGTTGCCTGCTGTGAGTTTTTTTTTGACAAGCACCTCTCACAGCTGATTTGTGGGGTCGTGTTTTCCAACACTGACACGGGCGGTGAGAGATGGTCAATCGAACAAGTTACTTTTTCATTAAGAATATTGCATTCTATAAGAATATAGAACCCCTTTTGAAAATTTTCGAAAAATGGCTTTGGAGATTTGTGACCAAAAACTGCACTTCCAAGTCCATAACTTTTCTTACAGACATCCGATTTCAGAGTGGAATACTTCTAAATGATTCTGGTTCAATTCGTTAAAAATTTGTGTTTTCAACTTGGCTTGTATTTTTGGGTCAGTTTTTCGTCATTTTAAATACCCTTCCAAACTGTCAAAAATTGCTTTGCAGTAATATGAAATTAAAAGTTCGTTGCCTCTTAAACAATCTATCTCTAAAATTCCAGTTTTATTTCTATAAAAATCTAACGACTATAACAAATATCTTTCATACGAGCGATCGAAAAATGTATTGAAAAATCTACCTGAAGCTATGTTATTTTTAAGCATGGAAATACAGAATATTTCATTTCTGTAACAGCGTATGGCTGTATTATTCTAAATAGTGTTCACATATACATTTATACATTTATATATCCGATATATTAATAATTTTCTTGTTATCAAATTTGGAATTGTTTTGGCGATATATCGCAATTGCTCAAATGTTTCGCATTAAATGCGTCTTCCAACACTGTCCAAAAAGTCGATTGACCTGCTAATCGGAAAACGCGCAAACTTACGAAGTCAAAAGACGTCAAACGAAAAAATGGAAAAGTATCCGCTCGCTAGAGAACTTCTCGGCCAAGATGGCCAAAACGATGAGAAAATGGCACAAATTGAGGAAGAGATCATGATAAAAAACAAATTGAACGCCGAAGGAGAGGGTAAGTGCGGAGAACCGCATAATCCTTGAGATGTCCCAACATGTTTCTTTTTGTCACAGTGATTCGCCCGAAATTGGAGGAGCTGATGTTTGACACCACTCTGATCAAACAGGGAGGCGCCATTGTGGAGGAGATTACGGCCCAGATGGAGAAGATGGATACCACCACGAATAGCTGCCTGTTTGATGCCATGCAAATCGAGCACTTGCTCGAGGAGGTCGGGTTGCAGGACATCCTGCGCTACAAGGTTCAGCAACAGGAGCAGAACACCCAGCGCCAACTGGCAATCCTCGAGGAGCAGATAGTCGAGGAGGAGAAGCAGAAGACCATCCTCGAGTCACGCGATATCGGTAAAATCATGTTTCTTTGTAACTTAAAAAATCTCTTTCGTATTAATCGTGTTATTTCGCCACCTTACCTAACAATAGCCTTCATAGAAAGCTAAGCCCCCAATATTTAAACATTCTTTAAGTAAAACTTATACGATATTTGGGTAGTGAATGTTATTAATCCTGTTATTACATTATATAATTTACCTTTACTTCAATGATTAAATTATTTTTAAATATGTTCACTTCTAGTTCATGAATATCGCTTGGTAAAGACCTCAAGAAATGAAGCCGAGAATAAGCTAACTCCATTTAAACAAGAATTAGACCAGTTAAATCGCCAGGCCATAACGTCGTTTAAAGATTTGGAAGAACTTCGTAACAAAAAGATAATCGCTGTTGTACAGATCAGCAAGGATATCGGTAAAATACAGTCAAATGTGGGTACTTTCTTAATAACCAAAAAAAAACTGCAGCTCAAATAAACTTTCGTGTTATAATATTTTTTCTCATTTTTCAGATAAAACCAAGTGATAATGCTACAATCGATAAAAATCAAAATCACATTAATCAAGAGAATATTGTTGCCAAGAAAGTAACAAAAACCGTTGGTCCAACATCGTTGCAACAGACTCAAGTAAAACCATCTAATGGCAGCGGTTCATTATTTCAGTCATCTAAGGACTTTCTCAAAAACTTTCTGTTGAGCAAGCCCACAAAGGCTGGCGATGAGAGCGACGATAGCAACGCAGGTACAAATCAAAAAAAGAAGACGCCGCTGCGATCCATTTTTGTCCATCGTAAGAAAGAGGCGTCTGTTTTCTCTACTAAATCGCCATCAAAAAAAGTTCGATTTGCTCCTGATCCGGAACTAAGCCAAATTTTTGAGTTCGAAGTAGAAAAGCAGGATTCGGGTTCAGATTTAAAGGAATCAGAAAAACCTAAAGAAGAATCAGTGGAGAAACGAGAAGAATCAGAAGAGGAAACAGAAGAATTAGACGAGAAACCGGAAGAATCAGAGGATGAAGAATTAGTGGAGGAACTAGAAGAACCTCAGGAGGAGGCAAATACAGAATCAGAAGAGGAAACGAAGACATCAGACGAAGATGAGGAGCAACCAGAAGATGGTTCAGAGAACGAAGTGGAGGAAACTGAGTCATCAGTCGAGGAATTTAATGAGGAGAAACCAGAAGATGGTTCAGAGAACGATGTGGAGGAAACTGAGTCATCAGTCGAGGAATTTAATGAGGAGCAACCAGAAGATGGTTCAGAGAACCAAATGGAGGCATCACAGAAAGAATTTGATGAAGAGGAACCAGCTGAATTTGAGGAGCAATCAGACGAGGGATCAGAAAACGACATCCAAAACCTGGAAAAATCGAAAGCAAAATTGGACGAAATTGAGTTGGATGTATCGGATCCAGAACTAGACGGATCTGTTGAGAAATCGGGATCCGAAAGTCAGGATTCCGGATCAGACGAAGAATTTGATGAGGAGCAACCAGAAGATGGTTCAGATAACGAAGTGGAAGAAACCGAAGCAAAATTGACCAAAATTGAGTTGGATCCAAAAATGGACGGATCTAATGAGAAACCGGGATCCGAAAGTCCGGATTCTGGATCGGACGATGAGACATCGGGAGGGCAAGAATCAGGCGAGGAGGAGAAAGACAAGGCAACCACAAAAATGGATAAGGTGGCAAAACCCAATCTAGAGGGGCAGAAAACAATTAACACGGGGACGAAGCAGAAGTCATCCATCAAGAGCGAGAATAACCTGAGCTTTATCCCCGAAACTCCGCAGATAATCAGTGTGGAGCGTATTTCAGCACCTAAATATTCAACTTCAAAGGCAAGCGACGACTTGCCCAGCACCTCAACCGGCACTCGCAACCGCTATACAAAACATACCATAGTTGTCGACGAGGATAAACCAGTGGCGCTGGACAACCAGAAATTCCCCATGACCCAACCTCTGCCTATGCACTTCAAGCACCCATCGACCATTTTCGAAAGCAATGATGACCAATCTCTAAATTTCAACTCTCCCAATAACGATCTCAACGATGATTTCCTCCTGAATTTCAGTGATGATAATGCTTCGCTTACTGGGAATTCATACATCTTGTAATTAAATAATTTTTGGATTTAGAAAGCAGTTGAGCAGAGAGAGCTCTGTTAAAATACCAGATATTTTGGTTGACATAAAATTAAGAACAAATAAGTTCCTAAGCCTTAGAGAGCTGTATACTTAACTCACTCTGGTAAAATAATACCAGAGCTTAATAATAACAAACATGTTGTAATTTTCTATTTTTAGTGATTAATTTGAATAAAATATAGTAGTTCAGAGCAGAAGAAAATAAAGTATGTTCAAGTCCATAAGAAAGCGCTTAAATAATACATTTCCACATTGCAGGCTCTCCAAAATCACCAACAATCCGCCCGAGAAAAACGACGAGCAGCAGGTGCCCTTAAATTCCGCCAGTTCAAAAATGGTTTTACTGAAATGTGACCAAAAACTGCACCTACAAGCTCATAACCTTTCTTAGAGACATCCAAAGGGGCATACTTCTAAATGATTTTGAATTAATTACCTAAAAATCTATTTTTAAATCTTGGTTTGTGTTTTAGGTTGATCTTCCGTCCTTTTTAAATAACCTTTCCAAATTTTCAAAAAATGGCTGCAGAAAATAAAATTATAAGTTCGTTGTCTCCTAAACAATATTCAAAGATATAGTAATTTTAAAGGTTTCTAAATTCTAAAAATACTGGTATTAAGTTACTTTCTGTCCGTGGAGGAGGAAGATTTATTTGGCCTCCCCGTATATTAATAATTTTCTTGTTATCAAACTTATAGAATTTTTTTTGGCGATATATATCGCAGCTGCTCCAATGTATCGCATTAAATGCCACTTCTAACACTGTCAAAAAAGTCGATTGACCTGCTAATCGAAAAACGCGCAAACTTGAAAAGTCAAAAGACGTCAAACGAAAAAAAGGGAACATTATTCGCTCGCTAGAGAATTTCGCGACCAAGGTGCCCAAAACGTTAAGAAAATGTCGCAAATTGAGGAAGAGATCAAGAAACAAAACGAACTGAACGCCGAAGGAGAGGGTAAGTGCGGAGAACCGCATAATCCGTGAGAGGTCCCACCATGCTTTTTTTTTTGTCACAGTGATTCGCCCGAAATTGGAGGAGCTGATGTTTGACACAACTCTAGAAAAACAGGGAGGCTCCAATGCCCAGATGGAGAAGGCGGATACCACCACGAATAGCTGCCTGGTTAATACCATGCAAACCGCGCATCTGCTCGAGGAGGTCGAGTTGCAGGACATCCTGCGCTCCAAGGTTCAGCAACAGGAGCAGAGCACCCAGCGCCAAATGGGAATCCTCGAGGAGCAGATAGTCGAGGAGAAGAAGCAGAAGACCATCCTCGAGTCACGCGATATCGGTAAGTTTCTGTCTCTTTTTAACTCGAAAAATCTTAGTGACAAGGCATTATTTGACCACCTTAGTTAATTAATATAATTTCAGCATTCCGTATTAAAATTAGCATTTAACAATAACAAAAGCTATCATACAAAAGTAGACGTCCAATATTTAAATATTCTTTAGGTAAATACTCTAGAAGTTTTTACCGGGTACCATTTACCATTTTAAAACCTATATGATATTTGAATAGTGAATGTTATTCATTCCGTTATTAATTAATTGAATTAAACTTTATATAATTTTAAAAGCTATGGCATTGTCACATAACCTCTTTAAATTATTTTTAATTGCGTTAACTTCTAGATCATGAATGTCGCAGACTTCATACAGCAGACGAAGAATTTGATGAGGAGCAACCAGAAGATGGTTTAGAGAACGAAGTCGAGGAATTTAATGTGGAGCAACCAGAAGAATCTAAGGATGAACCAGAAGAATTAGTGGAGGAACTAGACGAATCTCAGGAGGAGGCAGAAGAATTGGAGGCGGAATCAAATAAAGATTCAGAAGAGGAAACGAAGACATCAGACGAAGAATTTGATGAGGAGCAACCAGAATATGGTTCAGAGAACGAAGTGAAGGAAACGGAGTCATCAGTCGAGGATTTTAATGAGGAGCAACCAGAAGAATCCGAGGATGAACCGGAAGAATTAGTGGAGGAACTAGACGAATCTCAGGAGGAGGCAGAAGAATTAAATAAAGATTCAGAAGAGGAAACGAAGACATCAGACGAAGAATTTGATGAGGAGCAACCAGAAGATAATTCAGAGAACGAAGTGAAGGAAACGGAGTCATCAGTCGAGGATTTTAATGAGGAGCAACCAGAAGAATCTGAGGATGAACCGGAAGAATTAGTGGAGGAACTAGAAGCATATCAGGAGGAGGAAGAAGAATTAAAGGAGGAATCAAATAAGGAATCAGAAGAAGAATCGAAGACATCAGACGAAGAATTTTACGAGGAGCAACCAGAAGATGGTTCAGATAACGAAGTGGAAGAAACCGAAGCAAAATTTACCGAAATTGAGTTGGATGTATCGGATCCAGAACTGGACGGATCTGTTGAGAAATCGGGATCCGAAAGTCAGGATTCCGGATCGGACGATGAGACATCGGGAGGGCAAGAATCAGGCGAGGAGGAGAAAGACAAGGCAACCTCAAAAATGGATAAGGTGACAAAACCCAATCTAGAGGGGCAGAAAACAAATAACACGGGGACGAAGCAGAAGTCGCCCATCAAGAGCGGGAATAACCTGAGCTTTATCCCCGAAACTCCGCAGATAATCAGTGTGGAGCGTATTTCAGCACCTAAATATTCAACTTCAAAGGCAAGCGACGACTTGCCCAGCACCTCAACCGGCATTCGCAACCGCTATACAAAACATACCTTAGTTGTCGACGAGGATGAACCAGTGGCGATCAAACGTCGCAAACTGGATGACAAGAAATTCCCTATGGCCCAACCCCACCCATCGACAATTTTCGAAAGCAATGCTGACCAATCTGACGATAATGCATCGCTTACTGAGAATTCATAAATCTTGTAATTAAATAATTATTGAATTTAGATTTCTCTGTTTAAAATAACACATATTTTATCTGTATACTTAAAATAATTTTATCTGTATGGTAAAATAAAACATGTTAAAATACTATATTTTTATTGATTAATTTGAATAAAATATAGTAGTTCCATAAAAACTACCTTGGTAAATGAAGAGATAACGACTTTTATTTTTATCATTGAATGGATTTTTTTTCTGTGACAGAATACTTATACCCAAACTATTTAAACGATTTAAGAAGATGCAATCATATTTAAATTAAATTTTTTTGGCGCCAATTGCAGATAATTCAATTCCAAAGGTTGAAGTCTTTGCTAAAAGTGTTTCTTGTTTGGTATTTTTGGTATTTCCCAACACGAAGCGATTGGTATATTATATTTGACCACGAGTTTATTGAAGTCGTTTACTTTTGTAAAAATTAAAAATAAAGAAACTTAATGGCTCGTAAACGAAAGATTCCCGTGCGCAAGCACCACGGCGTCCGCGATCCCCTCAAGCAGCAGGAGCAGAAGGAGAAGAAGTATGTTCAACTCTATAAGAAAGCGCTTAAATAATACATTTCCACATTGCAGGCTCTCCAAAATCACCAACAATCCCCCCGAGAAAAAGGACGAGCAGCAGGTGTCCTTCAAGTTCCGCCAGTTCAAGCAGCTGGCCGATGCCACCAAAACGGGCAAGCGGGTGAAACTGGCCCAAATTGGCCGGGAAGACAAACCGAAATCTGCGCCAGGAGCCAAGGCCAGTGGTGCCTCCAAGGAAACGCGGAACATCAAACAGTTTGCCAACGAAACGGACGAGGATTACCTGCGCCGTGTGAATCGCATAACCAATGCATCCGTTAAAGAAGCCCAATACGAGGCCAAGTACGGCGTGAATGTCCTAAGGAACCCCAAAACGGGGGAGATTACCGTCCAAAAGAGGCCCAAAAACGAGATTGACGAGCTGCTCAAGCAGAAGCAAAAGGAACGCCGTTTGGCGGGGAAAAACGCTCGAAGGAAGCCCAAAGCCGCACAGAAGGCTACTTTGGATGCCAAGACCAGCCGGGAACTGGTCAAACGGGCCTACAAGGAGGCCCAGCAAGAGGTTGATATTGAGGAGAAGCAGAATGCTGGGCCAACGGAGTACAAACAGGATGTAGTCGCCTTCGGGGAGATCGTCCATGCCCCGCCTTCCCTTAAAGTACTGCCACGCAAGGCAGCAAAGAACGAGACGGTGCCGCGGCCAGGACGCAAGACCAATCTACTTCTGAAATCTATACTAGATCCTGAGAAAATCCAGGACCAGCAGGAGGATGAAGAGGAGAGTAGTCGGGCCAAGTTGGCGGCCAAATCAAAGAGCATATTTAAAACGCCAACCAAGGCCCAAATGAAGGGCAAGCGAAAGGATCTGCCTTTGGCCACAAGGTCCATGCTCGAATCGGAGCGCAACAAAATGGTTCTATTGTACCGTCAGCTTAAGAACAAGACGTCAGCGGATGCCTGAAAAAACTTAGACTAGATCTTCACGACTAATTGATTTTTTTACCCTAAACCTAATCACTTAAGCTACGTAAATGCATTTGTTAATTACTGGAATACAAAAGTCTTTGTATTTTGGTTTGCAATGTTTAATAAGATTTTTAGTAAATCTAGTTTTTTACCAAAAAAAAAATTACAAAGTTATAATCGATTTGTTTCTTAATATAAATTTGGACAGATATTCTCAATTCGTATTCGTGGTAAGTCCAAACAAAATCAAAGTGGCTATGTTTTCTGGAAAACCAATTATTACAGTTTAATCGGAATATTTATTAAAACCGTAATTAGTTTTCAATCGTAACATTAATTTAAATAAAAAGACTAACGCGCCTCTTTTTTAGTGTGACCAGCCTGAAGTATATGTTTAATCTTTTTTGGTATATTTAAAGTATGTTTGCAACATTTTGTTTGGCATAGAGCAACCCAGTTGTCTCAGCCACATTGGACGCGACGGAAATTTATGAAATTAATTTAATTTAGTTAAATTAATTTCTCGTCGTGAGTGCGCGTCTCGATGGTCGGTCAAAATTAACAGTTAAAAAATACAAGAATAAACCAGCAGGCAGCGTCAAATCTATTGTGTCAACACTTTGTTAGCCAACTTCTTTTTTTTATATTGATTAAATTCATTGTGAGTACACACACACCCACATACATACATACACACGGGCACGCGGATAGAGAGGAAAACAACAAATTGTGGCTGGCGCGCAAATACACACACATAACCATAACAATTGATAAATTGCTTAGACGCTAAATGAGTCAATCGTATAAGCGAACAAACGCGTGAAATAAATTCGTTGCAGAAGTTTTAAATAAGGTTTACATCGCCCAAACCGCAATGTCTTGGTGCACTGGTGTGGGTGAGTAGTTCTTGTCGGTGTGCGTTTTTGTTGTTTTTGCTTATCAGCTGGTACTTAAGTACGGTGATTAACCCGTAGTTAGTGTGCTGTCTGCAAAGCAAAGAACGCTGATTAAACAGTAGTCAGTCGGTGGTGATTAAAACGACACCTTCTCGTTTTTCCCCCCTCTAGACATGTCTGATAAGGGCATTACGATGCGCAATGGCAGGACCAAGGCGCCCCAGGAGCAGTCGCAGGATCAGGTGGTCCCACAGTTGGCGCAGGAGCAACAGGACCTGAACCCACAACAAGCAACCCCGCAAAAACAGGCCATGTCGCCCGACGAAAAGAAGGCCACTAAAAAGTCCCTGGTCATCGTGGCGTGCATTTTCGTGGCTAGTTTGGCCACCATGTGCTATGTGTACGCCATATTCCCCGAGCTAAACGAGTAAGTCGGTCTATCTGGGCTTAATCCGCCACGGATGATGTGTCCCCAGCGCATTCGTGCACCTGTAAGGTGTTAAGTGGGTAAGGTGTGTGTGTGTGTGCACGGTCTCGCTTGATTTGCGAGCAGAGATGACAGTGTAAGATCCGCTAAATGTAGCTAGATCACATCTAACTACGGTTAAAAAAGACAACTTAATAACAAATATCCGTCCTAAGACAGTTGGTTAAATTTCCCAAAGAAAACCTTTAATTTTTGTATCTGTATCTTAAGCAAAAGAGGGAATAACAACTTGTTAGACATTACTCTAAGTATATTGATTTGCATTTTTAGAAAATGAAATTCCTCTTTCTGTTGTACTGTTGTACTTTTCCGAACCGGAACCTTCGATTGTTCCTCGAAAATCATGTTAGTCACAGACTGAAATAACAAGCAATCATTTTGTGAAAAGTTCAAAACGTCTGTTTATATATGTACATATATTCTCCCCTTGATTGAAATTTGATTTGCATTGAATCAGCAAGTCATCGCATAATCTCTTAGTTTTTTGTTTGTCAAATTTATTTGGCAAACGCAAGGGGTTGAAAACGATCAGTGGAGATCACTCTAATCTTTTTTTAAGTCCCTGCTAGATTCACTTTATTTGTTTTGTCGTCAATTGATAATGTGGTGAAGGTTTTCTTATCTGCTTTTTCTTTTTGTCTGTGTTTTTTGGGCATGTTATTTACCGTTTTGCCATATAGTGATTATAAGGCAATTGCAATAGTTACCAAATGATAATATCTTTTACAACATTATAAAAGCTCTTATCTTTTGCATTGTGTGTTTGCTTCCATTCAAGAGGCGTATTCAGGGAGTAAAGATAAGAATTTTTTACGAATAGCTATAAATAGTAGAACGTTTTACGAACCTTTTATTCCATAGAATAGTACAAAATTTAATTTAAATAGTAAAATGTTATTATCCGTAACAAACTATTAGTAAAACTTGTTGAGGAACTTTATACTTTTAATTTTTGTATTTAGATAGGTATTACCTTTATTTGGTTAAGACTATAGTAAAATAGCCACATTCGGCTGGAAAATGTCGGAATCTACAGTTCTATCTGGCGAGAGGGTTTATTCGCACACACACACTTATCGAGTCACGCCACCAATATAATATATATACTTATACATATGTCCTATGTTTACACCTTGTCTCGCTTCCGATTTCCGCAGGTCGGAGAAACAACATTTGAAAATTCCGCGTGATATCCAAGATGCTAAGATGCTGGCCAAGGTCCTTGATCGCTACAAGGACATGTACTATTTCGAAGTGATGTTCGGCGTGGTGGTCGCCTACGTATTGTATCCTTTTTGCCATATCAAAAATCAAGAATTTGGTATCAAAAATCAAGTATCAAAAATCGGTTAGACCGATTAGATTAGCGTCAAAGAGTTCTTTTGTCCGGCACGGTGACCTTGACCCGAATACCAAAAAAGAAGGTCCCCCGCACAACAAACTATTCACGGTCGGTCGTATGATCGTGTGTTTCTTTGCCTTAATTAATGCACGATCACCGATCGGCGGTCATATTGTGCATACTAATTACGTGGGGAGCACGCGGAAGTGCGAGTGCGATGGCTGTAGGAAGCAGCAGAGCAGCTGTTGTTGCCTTCCCGCTCGCACTCCCCCACGCACTTACTACTTGCACTCTCTAGAGTGGACCATAGTATGTGGGGGTTTCCAAATCTAATCTAAAGAAAAAACCTCGAATAATGAGGTGTTTTCTACCTAAAAAATATTGTGAATTATATTTTAAAATTTTAATTCATATTCATTGTAGTGAGCGTTTTAGTGATAAACGGATATCTTGATAATTGGATCTAAATTCTCAACCTATTTTTAAAAGCTAGTCAGGGTTAAAAAAAATGGTGCCACATTGCGTATGAGTAATAAGTCTTACTCACACTTACGAAGGGGTGACATATTTGTTGTCCTTCAAGCGCTTGACATTTCCCTCTAAAGTAATATTACAGTTCTTAAAATTCAAACACTAGAAAAGCCAGATTTTTTTGTTACAACATCCTAGGGCTACAAGTGAAATATTAATTATTAGGGCACTTGGTAGATTTTTGGATTGAATGAAGCAAAATATTGACTGGCTTATGTTTGAAGATAACTATGTACATAAAATCCATAACAAATATTTTTTTTTAGCTTTAGATTAATTAGAAGCATTGAAAGTTTAATTTAATTAATAATTGTACTGGTTCACTTTAATTCACTTAACATGAGCTACCTCAAAAATTGACTTTGGACATTCGAGTGACGCATTCTTTGTGTTTGTTGCTGTTTTCGCCTCAGAAATCAGCTGAGCTGGACACAATTTTGTTGTCGTCAGTATTTTGATTTGTCTGCTGTGTTTAGTGCTCTCTTTTAATTCAATTGCGTTTTTAGACCCCAGCCAAGGCAGCAAGAAAAAAGCAAAAGCAAAAGCAAATACGTAACTTTATGGCCGTGCGCCAGTGTGTGGGTGAATATTTTTATTGCCCCCGTGCAATTGTTATCGGGCATTTGTAGACTACGTGGTCCGATGCCAGATGATACGAATCTGCGGGATTCTCGGGGTCTTTCGTGTTGATGGGGGTGTCATTGTCAGTTCTTGGCGTCTATAAATACCCGCCCAAAGACGTTCGAGCACGCGTCCAACTAGTCGTACGATCTGCCTTTTAATCCCAGGCACAGGGATTCCTAGAAAATGAGAGCATACGTACATAAGTACTTTACTAAGAAACCACAGTACTGGAACATTTCAACTGGGAATTGCCCCTTATAATTGTTTTTATTTGTAGAACCAATGAGTAAAACCAGAATTTTAAAAATTTTTTCGATTGATAAGCAAAAAACAACAACATATATATATATATATATTTGTATATATACCATTATTATTTAGACACTTAAAGATAAGCTTTCCATATGGGAACATGCTTAAGAACCCTTTTAAATCCAAGGAATTGACTGTTAACCAGGTATCACTGTACATAATAATTCAGCTATTATTCAGATCGAACCGCCTGCGACTGGTTGCCTTGACCCAATTGAAATTCATTTATAGCCTGCAAACATTCGCCATTCCCGGATCGCTGTTTCTGTCGATTCTACTCGGATTCCTGTACAAGTTCCCGATCGCCCTGTTCCTCATCTGCTTCTGTTCGGCGCTGGGCGCCACATTATGCTACACACTTTCCAATCTGGTTGGACGCCGCCTGATCCGGCACTTCTGGCCAAAGAAGACCAGCGAGTGGTCGAAGCACGTGGAGGAGTACCGGGACAGTCTGTTCAACTATATGCTATTCCTGCGCATGACGCCGATCCTGCCGAATTGGTTCATCAACCTCGCATCGCCGGTGATCGGTGTGCCGCTGCACGTCTTCGCATTGGGCACCTTCTGTGGCGTGGCACCGCCCTCTGTAATCGCCATCCAGGCGGGCAAGACGCTCCAGAAGATGACCAGCTCGAGCGAGGCCTTCTCCTGGACCTCTATGGGCATACTGATGGTCTGCGCCTGCGCCTCATTGCTGCCCGGTCTGCTCAAGAACAAGTTCAAGCACAAGAAGGAGGCGTAAGCTGCTGGAGGAGTGCCGTCCACAGTCCGATATATATGCTATTCCCCAAACTGAAACCAAAACAACCCGAAAAATCATTAAATGTAATTCATACACTACAAAAAAAAAACACAAAACAAAAGGTAAACACACAAACCGCGGTAAACGCGGCAAAGAAAGAAAAAGCCCGCCCCAAGAGAATATTTCGAAAAAAGCCACTTCGGGTCTCGATCCACTATATTTAAGTCTACTACAAAATATCTG